CCCCGATGATTTCTTAAAAAATAAATCACCACATTATTTATGGAGCAAAAGATAAAGAAATTGATAGGTGTGTATCAGGTGGGGGCCAAACTTTTTTCTGACTTATGATAGCAAATTGACAATGCTGGCTGAAATGTTTAAGTCTAATCTACTAAAACCAAACAGATGCCGTAAGAAAAATGGAAACAGTCCGTTTTATAAATAGATTTGGGAGAATCAATTTACAAGCATTGATCAGAGAAGCAGTTTCTTAGAATTTGTTTATTCCGTCAAAACTGCATGAAACTCAAAAAGAGAGATAAAGGTTTCATTCAAACTTATTTTGAAACATGGTTGGCCGTGAGAGCTGTAAGTAAAAGAAACAAAAATTACTGACAATTTACATTTTGGTTTCATCTAAAGCATGATGAAACATCAAGTGCAAACACAACCTTACGAGTTTACCACCTTCCAACTATTCCTCACTCTTTTCACTTCTGTTGAACTACATACCTAAATAATAGTACTGGCCAGAGTATAACCTACTGCAATTTTTCAGATCTCAGAATAAAATAATAATTTTTCACCATGCATATATCTTGAGATTGAACATTGCTCACACAAAATACAAGGTAGAAGATTACGACAACTTAACTGACCAAAAATTTAATGCCACTCCTTGAAAAGAAATTTCACCTTCTTCAGACATCTCAAGCCTTACAGATGCATAAAAGGAACAACTAAAGATTAAATTGCTAATGAGTAGATGAGCTATCCCAAATTTGGTCTGAGTCTAACCTTCACTCTCAGAAATGGTTACAACACAGACACACAGTCACTCAGGTCCTCATTCATTCCAAACCATTGAATTCAAATGATGAGAATTTTAGATCAACTTTGATTGGATGCCAGACTAACAAAAACCAAACAAGCGAACATACAAGAAAAAAAAATATAATATGCAATGTTGCCCTTCTAGCGAGAGAAGATTAAGAAAAGAAATATAATCCAACATGAATATTCCTCACCAAAATAAGGGACCGTTTATAAAATATGTAACGTACTTAGGGGTAGGGGGGGGGGTCAAGCAGAACGTTATCCTATTTTGCTTTTAAGTGTTAAGGATAGGAACAGGACCAGAAACCCTTCGTCACAAAAGTATTACAGGGGGGAGGGGGGTCGAAAAATCCGAAATATAGCCTTTTGTAGTTTCATAACAGCCCCTGGATTCTTTCAAATACAGAATACATGAACTATTAAAGCTCATAATTCTGAAGAGACGTACTTCACAAATTGCCGGGAAAAACTTCAGTAAAGGGTTTCCGGATGTACTTTTTGAAAGAATATTTTGCTACAGCCTTGATTGATGCATATACTGTAGTCAATGTTGACGATACAAAAATGTTAACAGGCACCAGTCAATGTGCATTTACAAGTGAACAAACAAGTTTGAATTGACTTTGGCCAGCGTAGCTTAATCATCATGTTTTCAGGGTAATAATTTTGTAATTTCACGCGAAAAAAGGTTTCAGTGATGTAAAATGGGAGAGAGAAGTAGCACATTCTGGCAATCACGGGGATACATCGAGTGCTGTTACACCTAATAGTCAACTCCAGAAACTTAAGATAAATTTTACAGTAGAAAAGGAGGGTTTGTCTGATGCTGTGATGTTATGCTCGTTTCTAATTGTTACTTTTATCTTCTAAATTCTGCCCACAAAAACAGGACAAGACATTTTTTCTAATCAGAGACTTTTATGATCAACAGCAATTTTATTAAATACAAGGTTACAAAAGACAAGCTTAGAAATAAAACAAAACAAACTATCAATGAGTTAATTCAAGCACTTCACCTTAACTTTAACATTTTTAACATTTCTTTTCATTCTCTTATACATTTTCAAGCACTTTTCCCCAAATTATTTTATGAACTCTTATTCATTTTTCAAATTATAATAGTTATATACAAACCTAAGAGGTTTTAAAAATTCCTTCTAACAAAAACTCCAACCCTCATAGTATTTGCTGGGCGAAGAAAAAGCACTATGATTGTAATAAAATATTACACTTATACCTCTTTCATAAGGGAAAAGAACGAAAACGGCAGAAAAAAATAACGTAACATGATAGTATCAAAATAAAAGATTTCCAATGAGCTGCATCAACATATTCTTCCAGGGAAAAAGAACTGTTAATGTAGGGACACATGGAAATCTAAGGGCTATTCGGGAGGGAAACAAGAAGATGCACATACTTAAATAAAAAAATAGACTCAAAAGAAAAAACTAGGTCAGGATTAGCGCTTGAAGCATGCCTGAGGGCACTTTTCACTTGGTTAAAAGCATAAAAATAAAAACATTGAATAAAACTAAAATAACAATATTTTGAAACCCCGAGGGCAGGTGAAAAAAAAATGGTTGCACACTGCCATATCAAAATTTCTACAAGATTTTTTTTTGTCAGATACTTTGTTCAACTCTGGATTTGACCGCGGATAGAAAAATAAAAACAAAGTACTAAAAACGGACGTTTTCCTACTGCAAGAGCCTTTCAAACTGAAGTTGTTGCTGAAAACAAAACCATTTCACAGGTAGAAAAGAGCGCTTACAGGAAACTCCCAACATACAGGCCTAGTTTTATTCACTCAATACTGGAGTTTTAAAAACGTCTGAGCACATAGACACTTGAAAGGAGTCAACAAAATATATTTACAATGCAACCGTATGATAAACTGAATTTAAAAATTTGGCAACGTTTCTCAGATGGTTTTATAATACGTAATAAGGTTAGCAGAGTGCCAAGCATACACTGAAGTTCAAAAGATTATTTCTGAAATGTTCACTTTAATTCATAAATTGATTCTATCAGAGAATTTAATATTATATTCATTAACACTATATCACACCTAACTGTTCAATAAGCAGATACAAAAACCAGAAAAGTAGTACAATTTGTGAAAAATGTGGTTTCTCTACGATATTTTATTGCGAGTTATAAAATTTTAATTTTCTTTGTTAAAGAAAGTTCAATGCTCCAAATTTTAAAACTAGGAAAGAAGGTATTAAAGTTTAAGGCTGACGCCATTCTGTACTTAAACAGAGGCTAGGAGTTCAAACCTAAAGAAAAAAATGAACTTTAACAGCAGTTCACAATAAATCGTCTATTGGAATTTTCAAGTTAGAACTATCAAATTTTTTAAATAAATGCTTGACACTCTGTTTGCGAATTCAAAATCATTGAAGAACAGATAAAGAGAGAACCACAACCAGAAGCGCTTCCTCTGAGAGGAGCAGAGAGAAAGAGAAGACACATAGAAAATATACAGGGAGAGAAGAAACAGGGAGAAAGAAGCGTGATTATTTCTTACTTTTGACGATCAATCGAGCCGATGTTTCAACCTGTCCTGTCGTGTTGGTTGCTTTGCAGGAAAACACCCCTGAGTCCTCTTCGTAAGTGGAGGATATTGTTAGGACAGCTTCGTTGCCTTCATGGATCATCTGTAAGAAGGAAACGGAGAGGTTGATTACTATAAACTATAATCGACTTCAACAAGCTAAGGATTTCAGGAAGGACGTATACATAAGAAATTCTATAATGAAATTAGCAAAGATCAGGGAAAAGTATTGGTACTAGCAGTTTTGTTTCTTTCGAATGAAAGAATGGATAAAGCTAAAATTGAGAAGATGGACGCATAATACAAAGGAGGGGCAAAATATTTTCAAAAATGCCACTAGAAAAGATAGGAATTTAAGCATTCTGATGTAGGTATGTTTACTTTTCAAAATTCATGTAAAATACACATTGTGTAACAAAAATTACTGAAATCAACGCCTGACCAAGATATTAACGTTTCTTAAAATAGCACTGGCCATGAAAGAATTGAATTTCCCACTAACAAAGAAAACCAAAGTCTGTCAATCAAAACACCCACTACAACGGTTAGCAAAGCCTCCTGTATCAAGCAGTGCTCCTTCCCAGCAATGTGATGTTCACTGTGTAGACAATGTGCATCAGCGGATCCAGCAAATTGGCAACATTGTTTTTGTTTTACGCTTCACTCAACTTTTGTGGAACATTAAACGTTTTGTTCAAAATATTGACTAGAATGTTCTTTTGACGTTTTAGTGTTATCTGACCAACTATTTTTGCCAATCCTGGTTCTTGACCCACATGATCAAATTGAAACAATTTTATAGGCTGATTTCTTTGTGAAGTTATACCACTTTCTGATTAAAGAGAGGGCTGGCTTGTCAAAGTTTGTACATATTTTTTACTGATATTATCATCTTTAATTTTCGAACAGCTACAAACCTGAAAGTCGGGTGAGTGCGGGATTAAAACGCCTTCTCTGAACCACTGAATAGAGGGAGTGGGCTTTCCGGTAACTTTGGTGCGGAATTGGGCAGAACTACCTTCTGGCACAGTAACATCTTTCATTTTCGATAAAGTTGGTGCCACTTCTTGACTGTCAGGGCCTGCAAATTGACAAAAACCAAAAAGTTATTTATGTTGGCGGCAGAGACACCTGCAAAATTCAACTTCTGTAGATCGTGAGGTAAACTTAAAACTTGGTGAAATTTTTACCATCATTAGGATCACAAAGAAGCATGCACCTCAGAATTGGCTGTAACACTCTGATGCTTTCGTTTGATCCACTTAAATTGTTTTCTTAAATAAGATGAACTAACTATATGTAATATGCCATTCTATTTTATGATGTCAGGACTGAATATTCTTCTGAGCTCCAACAGGAAGGGTTTGATAATTTTGAAAAGATATTCTTTATAATACAAGAAAACCGAAAGTTTTGAGACATTGCGTTGTTCAGTTTTTGGTTAAAACAATACGGCAAAAATTGGTGGAAAATTAGGGGACCAGAGATGAAGCTGCTTTCTAGCTAAAGCCATCCAAATGTTACTTCCATTTTCATATTCAGCCGTTCATTATTACTGAAAAATTTTTGAAGGTTAGATGCTCACCTAGCACATTAAGATTTGCTGACAAGACGACTTGGCCACCAGCATTGGAGGCAATACACTTGTAGACACCTTCGTCCTCTGGAAACGCTTCTGAGATCATGAGAGAATAGACATCGCCCTCTTTGGACATTTGGAAATATTTCGATGGCTTGATCACTTTGTCTCCTTTCTGCCACTTGATTTGCATTGCTGTAAGAAGGTAAACCGATATCTCACTTAAAGGATCACTAGTGAAAAAAGCCAAAAGTAGACAAAAGAAATAGACATTTCGACAAACGGGGGGGGGGGGAAATCTAAAATAAATTTAGAGAGGAAAGTTGCTCCAGTGGTTCTTTACGTAGGGCTACTACTGTGTTGGAGTTTGAAAATAAGCAGAGAGAATTTGAAAAACTAATGAACATGAATAGCAAATTCTTTCCTGCAGATGATAACTTTCTCATTCTTAACAAGGTGATAAAATAGTGCCAGACTCACACTATTTTTGCAAGGAAAGCAAGGCCAAAAAGTTAAAAAATTTCAATTGCAGTCAAGAATTTGAGCTCTAACAAGTATCAATATAAGACTGAGGGGGTATAAGTATAAGAGGGGGTTTCAGTATAATACTGATACTCATTAGGGTTCAAATGACTCTGATTGGAATTTTTGAACTTGCTTTCCCCACAAAATAGTGTGGACCCAGCACTATTTTACCACGTTATTACAAACAGTTCAGGCCACATTTCTTAGATTTTTTTTTCTTCTATTTCTTTTTTTATTACTAACAGATTCTCAGATTTGCCAAAATTCGCAGACTGACTTGTAATAAGTACTGAATAGACACACTTTCCATCGTTAGCTGGCATTAATATTTTCGAAGAAGATAGCTGAGAGAGGAATTAAACACAAAAAATGCAGACTTACGAGGATTGCCGGAGATCTTGCATCTGAACTTGACTGGCTGACCTTCTTTCATGGTTTGATCTGCCAAAGGTTCGAGCACAGCAGGAGCTTGCTGAGGTGAAGGTTTTGACTGAGCAAATTTGCTCGCATTTGACACAGGAGTCTGAATCAAACATTCTGCTTCACATCTACGGAAAGCAAAAACAATTCTTAACAGCACATGATTACTTTAGTTGAAGGGATAAAAGGCAGGTAGCCTGACAGAGAAAATAAATAAGTTCCTTGGTTAAATTTTTTAAAAGGTTCTAAAAGGGGTGTTGACCATTGAACAAAAAAGACACTTTGACAGAGTCTACAACCATGTATCTCAGTTTATGATGTTGCAGACTTCCTGTCATACTGTATTCATAAATGAAAAACTAGTCAACGGCAATTTCTCATTACTGCTTTGACTTTTCTTCTCTATGCGAAGAAAACTCTGTGAAAACTTCAGGAATAATGTCAATTTGTTGTTCTTTCAAAAAATAAAACAAAAGCAGAGATTTTCAAACACTGCAAGTGAGTTACATGGTAGCAGACTTACTCTGTTGACATGCATTTCTAGCATGTAGTTTGAATTTTTTTTTTTAATGCAAGGTTATAGTTCATTTTTTTATTTTTACTTAAAATTGTGTATGTACTTCAAATGAAAATGTATCAAATTTGACTCATGTATTTGATTCTTTCAAGTAAATTCATAAAAGAAGAATTAGAAGTTGACCAATCTTACCTTGCTTCCCCTGCTTTGTTAATGGCTACACACTCGTAAGTTCCACTATCCTCAGGAACTGTCTCTATTATGAGCAGTGTGTACAAGTTGTCTTCTTCGATGGTTTTGTAGCGAATATCAGATGAAATTTTCTTGCCATTCTGGAAAATGAAACCGCACAAGTAGGTAATACAACAATAGAAAAATTTAATTCACAATGTTCGTTTGTTACAGTCAACGTGAACAATTTCACTAATTTGTTCTTTCTGAGATACCCTCCAGAAGATACTATTGTCTTTGGATCAATCTTAAAATGTATTATGTCAAGAAAAAATTTTCAAAGCCAGAGAGACAAAAAACTGACAATTGTAAGATTTTAAATCCTACTTAAAAACATAATCAATGGAAGGATTTCGTATTCTGACTTTCGATTTTTATTCTCTTACATTTCTCCCAAACATCCTGTTACTAAGAAAGTTATAACGGTATTTGATCCATTTTGTTTACCTTCAGCCAGTAAACATCCAATGGTTTTGTTCCTGTAATTCGAGCATCAAAACGAACAAGTTGGCCAGTATTGACAGCTGCACTTTGAACTGTGTTAAGGAAGCTTGGTGGCACAACTCCACCCCTTCCTGGTTGCCTACGCTCCTCAACCACCAAATTGGCACTGCACTTCGCCTTCCCACCTCTGTTTTCGGCGATAACAGCAAATACACCTGAATCCTCCATAAACACCTGTTCAGAAAGATTAAGTAACATTGTAAAACTGAAAAAAAAAGAGGAGATCTTAAATTTCAGAACTGAAGCTAATATCAATGTTGGTAACTTTTAAAAACCCAACACATATGATGTTCAGTGCCTCCGAGTAAAAGAGGCCTAACTCACGTTTTTTAAAAAATGAAGCCAGAAAACACATTTTCGGAGAAAACTATGGCAAGAAGCATTTCCTATTTCATTCAGACCAATTCTTTACATTTTTTGGAGAAGAGGGGAATAACAACTGCTAAAATATGTAAATAAAATTAATTTTATGTATTATTCCAAATTTTATTTTTTTATTTATTTTTTATTTATTTATTCTTTTGCTTTTTGCACATTTGGCTTCACAAAAACGTCATTTTCTAAATAAAGGTACTGATAGGTATAAACATATTTACATACAAATCGTCTTAAATTCATTCATTGACATTCAAAAATTCATTGATTGAGTACGGGCATTTTTCAATCAAATGCCTTGTGGCCAGCTTATCGAATGTTGGACTATATATGCTTTCCTGTATAATACTTGGCAATTTATCAAAGAATTTCCATGCCTTTGTTAGGTATGTGTCGTTCTTTGATAAACTGCTAAATTGGTGATATCTTGTGTCATACCCATGTGTCTCTGCCTTATCTCCCTTCAGCCTTTTAGCCAGTAATTTTAAGTGACTCATAATTATTTTGGCCGGTAATGTTAATATCTCATTTTTTATGAAGTGTTCTCGGCATGATGTATCTTGCTTCAGTTTCAGAATGGTTCTGATTGATTTTTTTTGGAGAATAAAGATTTTCTCTATCTGTTTATTACTCGCGCATGACCAAGTATTGATACAGTAATTTATATGAGACTCGACTAGTGCGTGATAGGCTAGGAGAAGAAGTTTTTTATCGCAGAATTTACTTAACATCCTCAGGACAAAAATTGACGAAGCTATTTTAGATCTTATTTTGTCACAATGCATTTCAAAGTTTAATTTATTATCAAGGTAGAGTCCAAGATATTTTAGTGCGTTTACTTCTTCTAATTGCCTTTCATCCACGAATATATTGAAGTTCCAATTACATTTAATTCTAGTATGTATCAGCATAAATACTGTCTTTTCTTCATTAAAATTCAGGAAGTTAATTTTGCACCATTGAAGTAAGTAATTCATGAGTACATAGGTGTCTTTTTCGAGATTCTCTAGACATTGACTGCGGACAACCATTAGGATGTCATCAGCGAATAGTAGGATTAAGAGTAATGATTTTAGAGCTTCCAATGTAATCTTCCTTTTAAAATATGTAGCTATATCATTAACAAATAAAATATAACATATAACATATAACTATATCATTAACAAATAAAATAGTGTTTTATATTAATTTATTTTCACCCTTATAAAAGACAAATGCCATTAAAAGGGGTAACAGATTAAATCTATTAACAAAACATGTTAGGTTCGAAAATTAATAAGAAAGTACCTGACGGATGATCAGGACCGACTTGGTGCTAAATGTATGAATCTGGAAGTCAGGTGAGTTTTGGATGAGGAAATCTTCACGGTACCACTTGATTGTAGGTAATGGATCTCCATCAAATTCAACTTCAAATCTAGCTTGATCTTGCTCAAAGGCACGGCAAGGCTGAATCTTCTTTGTAAAGATCGGAGGTTTCGATGGTTTCTAGAAATAAAGATAGAATTTTATAGGACGAGGTTGCTTACAGGGTAGCCTAAACTGTGACTTTTAGGCGCTCTTGAAGTTTATTTTAAAGACTTTCAATCACAGAATTGAATGCTGAGATTACAGCTCATTTGAAAGAGAATACGGCTCACCTAAATGCAAATGATTTTCAATAATGCATGATCATACGAAAATCGGAATTAGGCCTCAAACCAGTTATGTCAGTAGCAATTACCTTGTGATAAAATTCAGTTGGCTTTTTAGGGGAATATGCTCTGAGTAAATAGTAAATTTGGTTGAGGGAAAATAATTTAAGATTAAGCTAAAGCAGCTTTCCATGAAGTAAGATATCCATCGGAAAATCTTCAAACAAGCTGAAAGTTAGTCCAGTTTACTTTTCTTCATAATTGGCGAGTACTTCTTAATAATGAGTATTGGAAGTCATTACAAAACCATACAAAGACTGTATCCTTTATCAGAATGATCATAAAACCAATATTTTACAGCCAAAATTTTGAGATATGCTTCTTGAAATTATCTCAACTTGACATCTTTTTGAAACTGCCTTAAGCATAAAATTTCAGTATACATTTGAAACTTTCATGGAAAGTTTCATTTCAGGATGCCTCTGGAAAGCCTGGCCTAAGAAACTGTCTTAAAAAGGTCTTTAACGGAAGACAATTGAAGTATCTTCACAGATACTGTCTCAGATCAAGGCAAAATTTTCTCAAGCAATTTTGACTGATAGGTAAGCATCTTAGAAAAATCATTCACAAGAAAATCATTAGCCAAACATAATCACATTGCCAAGGTAACATGAGCGCCATTTACATTTTACAGAAGCGTTTAAGCATTTATAAAGAGTCCAGCAACATAGTGCTGTTGCCAGACATCTCAATATTGTTATAATTTTCCATTAAAAAAATGTGCGCACACTATTATGAAAATTTCAAGGACTAATCTTGATAATAAAAGAAATATTACATAAAATTTTTGAGTAATTCTGTTGTGTAATTTATCCATGAAAAGTTGGCAACACAGTTCCTTAGCACACATGGTGCATAAGATAATTTGGCAATGAGGTAGCGACAAGTTTTTTATGTGCTCAGACGAGATGTGTTAAAATGTGAAAGTTTCATGAACAACACTTCAATTAAATAAAAAACAACAAACCTGCATGCATAAAAAATCTGTGGTTACTGATACAGATTTGTAGTATATTATGTTTTTTTCCTGCATTGTTTTCAGGGCAAGGCAAATAGTGCATTTGACTTTTAAATGATAAAAATAAAATAAAAGGATTCCTTAATTTTGTCATTTTTCAAAGATTCTCTGAATTATACCATCAGATACCCTTTTTTGGATCTGCCTCCCTTAATAAAAAAAGGATCATTTTCTTTCATACCATGCTTTTCTACATTTAAAAAGTATGTAATAAAACAATTTATGCTACTTTGTTTACACTGCAGATGCTAGGACTACAATAACGCACTGACTACTTGCACTTCACCTACGAGCCAAGAAAAATAGGACGTACCACTGGGCCTTGAACAACACGTTCATGGGTCTCTCCTGTGTGCTCGACTTCCGTTGTTTCAGTTGCAGTAATTTTTCTAGTGATTTCTTTATCACCTTTCACCTATAGAGGGAATTGCGGAGAAATTTATGGTTAGCTCAGCACCGAAACATTCAACATTTTAGATAAAAACAAAACCAGCTAGTTTAGGAAAAAGGCTTGATTCAAAACAAATGCGTTGTGCAAGGCACAACAGGTGTAAAAAAGCAAAAAAGACAGAATAAGAGAAGGATTAAACACTTGAAATCTATTCAGAATTTGAAGAGTGTTCATTTATACTTAAAGCAAATAGACAAAGCTTCAACAGCTTCTGTTGGGCTACACTGAAACTGAACTGTAGAATGAAATGGAATACTTCAATTATTTTCAAGCACCTGTTTTTTATTTTTTACATTTTTTTTTGTTCTTATAATTTCTTTCATATTTACTTATTTATTTATTAAATGCAAGTTATCAAAAAAGTTTTAAAGATTTTTTCACAGAAGACGGTCATTACAAGAATCTCCAAAATATCTGACGATAAAGAGCTAATAGTTGTCCTCTTTCTTAAAATTTACATACTTGCTGATACAGTTACATTCACATGATAAATTAAAAGATTAATATTGCATAGCACAACAAAAATAAGCACCTTGTGAGTCCTCTAGCAAGTAACTCTTGTTTTGTTTATTTCGCTCACTTTTCAATATAAAAAAAGCGAGGGAGTGAAGAAGCAGGAATGATCTTCAGCAATTCAGTACCATCTTTCATTGGCAAACTGGGAAGTTGAAAATTGCTGTGCAGAGAGGGTATTTTTACCTGAAGATAATTACGCATCACTGAATCCTGAAAGAGGAAGGAGGATGAGGTGAAAGGTTAAGGGGAGAGGTGTCATAAGCTGATAAATGGAACTTTCATGGTTAAGCTAGCCAAAAAAAAAAAAAAAATAATCACCTCTTTTTGTGTTTGCTTCTGTTTTTGAACATACACCTCTTTTCCATGCACCTTTGATTCATGTGGCTCTGGAACAGACTTTTTACGCTCGACAACTTCTGATTCTGTGACTTCCGTGTCTTCTGATGTTTCAGACTGATCTGTTTGGCGTCTAGACTTCAGAATTTTAGATTTTTGCCAAGGCATCAGTTCTGGCTCAGGTTTATCCCTGAAAAATAAAAGCGTTGTCAAAAGTAAATATCAGCTTAAGCCGTGTTTAAGCGTAGTTGATTTGATGCAGACTGGATACAGATTTGATTTTGCAGAATAGACCTTGTGGAGTTGAACCGGCATGTTGTATACACTCTTAATTCTGATGCATTTACAAGTTGACATATTATTATCACTATTACATTCTGCACCACTTCATACTCTTAACTTCAGTGGGACTTGACTAGACGCACTCTTGATTTAAAACTCTTGATTTTTTTTAGTGCTAGACTTACATTGTTGTGCGCACATGGTTGTTTCTCTGATGAGCTGATACGTGGCATTGACACCCATCTAGACTCGATTTATTTAGACTTCATTTTGTAATAAGTGGCTACTATTACAGGCTTATTTTAAAAAGGATATATAAGCCATGAGTTTTCTTATGCAGATAGGTTTCTTTATGGATCAGCCAGAAATTGTAGTACCTAACTACAAAACGTACTCCAATTTTCCTGCAATTTGGATGACAATGTGTCCATCAAATCAATACTACACCTTTTCAGTGTCAAATTAATTGATCATTAATGCAGCTATGACATTAACATGATAACATGACATTCGCAGATGAACATTTCTTTAGTGAAATAGTTGAATTTAAAAATAATTAATATTGACATTGGTCAAAACAGATCTGGTAACTTTCACAGTTGACCAGAATTTCAGATTGAACATGAATAACAAGAAAGTTCTTCACTAAAAACCATCAGGGAAAAATTTTCATAAAAATGGAAGGGTGAGTCACTGTTAGAAAATAGATTGAAGGTTGATGCTTCACTTACAGTTTAGATTCATAACTTTGTGCCATGCCCTTCGCCAGAGACTTTTGCGATACTTTTTCACCAGGGATAGCGAACTGATGGGAAGCTTCTCGGATCCTGGTCTCTTTGACAAGTTGTTCATCTTCCAGCTGAACAAAAATTTAAAAAATTGCTTAGACTATAATAAAATATCCATGAAGGAAAGAAGACTATGGGGGAAATGAGAGTCCAATTTTAATTAATTTTTAACTTGCTACAGTACCTAACAAAATAGAAACCATATGGAATTTAAATTAAACAAATTCTGATTACAAAATTACATTGAAAAACGTAATAATATTTTAAAACACCAGAAGAGGAGAATGAATTACATTTTTGGACATTTTTACTAGTTTTTCTCAGTTTGAACCAAAATTTTGGAAGGAGATAAATATTTGTTCAAAATCTTAGAAAGAGGTGAATAGGTAAAATGTAGTGCCTTCTGTGATTGAAGTTGTTTTAAAAAAATTTGAATTATTAATAGAGGCGTTTTCTTCTCTCTACCTGGTCAGGAGGATCAATAAGTGGGAAAAGGATGTTTATCTAATGATATTCTTAAAAAAGTAGACTGATAGAAGAATTTAATGATCCAAAATCCATAAAATCGAAGGGATCCAAGCAATCTCCTCGCAGGAGATAGAAAAATTGATTCTCACCTCTTTCAATTTGCTATAGTAGTCCTCACTCTTCTTCATCTTGACATTCTTGGTCCACTCAGGCTCTGGCTCCTTGACCACCTTCTGCTTGAGGTGGTCAACATTTATCTCTGTTTGCGCCGTGCTGTGTCTCTCCTCAAATACTCGTTCAAGTTCACAGTCTTGCCGATCCTGTTGATAAGCTGTCAATTCGTAGTCATACCACGCTGAACAAGAGAAAATTATCATTATAGCAACTGAAAAACTGAGAATATTTTTTTTATCAACAATGAGACCCTAGGGGGGTATTTTCAAAACAAGAATACACTCGACAGCTTTTAAGAAAATTAACCTGCTTGATTTACTTTAGAAAAAGTCTTTTTCTCTCACAAAAGAAAGGATGAGCATTAAAAAAAAATCATCTATTTTAAAGAGACAGGAAAGAAATTTTAATGATGAAACTGGTCGGGACAGTTGCGCAATACGTATTTTGACTATCTGAAAAATAAATTTTAATGGATATATAGAAGTAATAACTTAGGAAAACTACTAAGGTTCCTAACATATCAAATGCACATCTTAGAAGAAATAGAGTGCATTCAGCATTCAATTGCTTTGATGCCTCATTTATTTTTAGTAATTACTGACACCAGATTTTCGCAGGATGGTGACATTTTTCTACCCTCCTGTTAAATCAATGAAAATTCTGAAATTGAGGGGTTAATTTTCTTGGAATTTTCTAAGATCTTTCATCAAACATCAAGGTATCTTTTCCCAGCTTCATTAGATAGACGCATCTCAGGCAACATCAAAAACTGTCGAGGAATATCTACATGAGGAAAGGAATGATTCTAAGCAGCTTGACAGTGAACAGTTATAATTTGCTACTGCTGATTTTGTTCCATAAACGAAAGTACAAAGCGACTAAGATAATTGGGAAACTCAGGTGTAAGCCATGCAACTCTCAAGACTTAAAGGGTTGAGTGGCTGCAAGAGAGGCACAAGAGACTTTAAAGCCTTGACTTGATGAGCCGCAAACAGCAGCAGACTTTCAAGTCTGGACAAATATTTGAGATGAAAATTAAGTGAAAATAAAAAAAAAAATTGAAAATAAAAATCAGGCCATTTTTTTAAAACTTGAGGGTTATCTATGATTAAATTTTGAGTTTCCTCCTGCAACATTAGATATTTTACAACATTTGCTTTAAAACTTCAATGAAAAATAAAAGAGCAGTCCAACTAAATAATGTCTCACGAGATTTTAAACCTATATGCAGAACACATCAAATTTATCATGCCCTCCACTCTCTAGATTTTTAAGTATACTGTCATGTCTTGGAATTCATGCTGCGAGGATGAGAAAGGCTTTTACTGTTGTAGACAACAACAGCAACAATAATGACCAAGAGCCAGTCATATAATATTGGACAGAGGGAATGGACACACCAGGGGAAAATTTGGCATGCATAATCGAACTACTAAATATTCTAGATATCAGTTGAAAACACATAGGGCACCTGCACTACAAAAAAATCTCCTCAGAGTAAGTCACATCAATACAGGATTTTTGAAAAATCTTGAATGCTCAGAATGTAAACATAGTTGACAACATGAAAATTCAACATGAATTTGATTTTCAAAAAACTACCTCTACCAAAAAATAAACAATGAAGCAAAAGGGTATGTACACTTTAGGCGGTTTCGGTTTTGTTACATGGAGTGACAAATAATCTTAAAGCAGAGTTCATGCTCTTTTGCAACTTTAAAATTACTATACTTGATTAATTTTTTACTATACTTAGGTTTTTTGAAACGAAAACTGAAGGCTAAATAGACGCTAAATGGCAAATCTGTCACTAGGTCTTTAATAGAAATGACTAAAAATAATATTTAGTAATGTCCTGCAGTTCGATCATTTCTAATCTAAAGTTGCCCTGACATGTGAAGGGGATTTTTCAATGGGTCTGTTGCATGCAAGAGACACAGCCAACTGCATACACTTTTTGAGGGTAAATTCGCTAGAAAATCACACAAAAAAGTCTAGAATCCAATCATTAGCACGCATTCTGCGTAGTTTGTAACACTCTTTTTCAAATTTACTGCGTACACTGGCAGTTTGTTTTTATGGCCAGCAGTCAGGTTTGCCCAGAGAGAAAGACCTAACCTAAATGAACAAACAATGTTGCGAACTGCTCTAAACTCTCTTTGCAAAAGGTTTCAATTCATTCAAAGTTTTTTTTTTTTTTTTTTGGCAAAATGGAGAAAAAAAGAAAACAAACGCTTTAAAAAGATTAAACTTATATCATACAGTATAAAAAGTTAGTCAAATCGTTAGTTTCCTTGGATTAGTTTTTCTGATTCCTCTGTCTGTGCAAACCTGGTTGACAGTGACTGAGAAAAATTGCCTGCAGACGCGGGAAACTTGAAAAAGTGTGTTACAAATTGAGCAAAGTGCACTCTAAGGGATGGATTTCAGACTTTTTTGATGTGCTCAACGTGATTTTCGTGCGATTTTACCTGATGGTGTATTTATTTGGCTGTATCGCTGGCATACGACAGACCCATTCTGAAGATAAACATAACAATTTTTAAGTTCTGACAGTACGCAAAGTTACTGATTGTGACACAGTGAACACATTAATTGGTGCTGGATATATATACATACATATAAATTAAACAAGGAACAGGATTCTGTATGAAACACAGAAAAATAAGAGGAAAAAAACAACAAATACCTAATCCCATGATAAAATTGAAATGAAAATCCATCATGCTGTTGGGCTACGTAAAATGAAATACACAGCGTACCCACACAAAAAGACAGTGAGAAAAAAATGATATCATACCTGAGAAAAATTCTTCAGATGAAAGCAAAACTGTAGATTAAAACCAAGAGTTAGGGCGAAAGATCCTCCGAGCCAGAAAAAAACCATTAAGAAGCAAAAAAGGTTGGCAATTTTAAAAAAACAGGAAGAAGGGAATGGCTGGATCGGAAAATGGTTAGGGGCAAAGGAAATATAAGGTAAGAGGATGTTCCAGTGTGATGTGTGGTATGTTTGGAATGCAAAGCTGAGATTTCAAGAGTAATCTCGTCTCCCGATTCAACATGACAGCACAGATAATATGCTTTCAAACCGAGTTTCTTGTGGCGAAAGAAAGAGAATTACTCTGGAAACAGCAACTTTGAACTGGAATGTATAGCTGGAGTGTTAAACTAAATAAAAAATTACACTATGCAATCCATTATGAAGTGCTATCGGACAGTATCTACTCAAAATCTGAGATCATGAGGAGGATCGTTGTAGCTCTACATGAAAAATCTCTAATAAAAGTCACTCATTTTTGAAGTAGGTACTGCTAAAAAGATTTCAAAATATTACAAACGGCAAATTTGTTTTTTGAAAATGCTACCGCTACAGATTTGAGACTGATACACATGAAAAGAAAACAACTAACATTTCACATAAAATTTTGAATAACATTTCAAATTGAAAACATCTACATTTTACTCAAACAGTACAATTCCCTCAACAGAAATTAAAAATAGAGACCATTGGATAATGGAATGCATATTGGGTAATATGTATGAGTGCCAAAGTGCATTTTGCTGAAACAGATCCTCAAAATAGCAAACATTGAGAGTGAAAATTTGGTGCTACTACCGAGGTAACAAAAGTAGATATGATTTCTTAAAGTACAATTTTCTGAGAAGTAAAGGAGACCATTGCAGAATATGATGATTTTGAAGATCTGTTCCATGGAAGTGATTAGGTACCTGATGCAAATGTTAAGTATGCGTCTGGTGAGTATGCGTTTGTATGCGTATGCATGAAGAGTTGCGAAATCGAAAGATAAAATGCGCTACTGTCGATGCAGTGTGTGAAAATAAGAGTTGGCAGCCAGAAAATGAGAAAGTGTAAATCTGAGATGATAGTGAAAATGTAAAATGTAACTGAAAAACTTATTCAAAAAAGCTGGAAAGAAAGATAAATTAAATCAATATGGTTCATTCACAGTTGAGCTGGCAACTGCAGCTGCAGCAGTTGCAAATTTAATAAAAAAAAATAAAATAAAGTGAAATGATAATAATAAAAAAAAAATAAAAGAGAGATGAGACATAATAGTTTAACACTGTGAAGAAACAGCTGAAAAGTAGAAACAATATTAATTAGAACAAAAGATGAAAATTGTAAGGACTAATTCTAAATGAAAACTTTATGACCAGAAAAAATAAAATTGGTTGACCACTCACGTCTAGGCGAGTTTTTGAGAACGCCACGGTAATCATTGGCGCGTGGTTTGACTGTAAGTTCGGTCTCAACGCGAGCTTCTCCAGCCGAATTTCGGGCAACAATTTCAACCTTTCCGTGATCGTACTGACGTGTCTTGGGGATATCAAGATGCCACATGCCGTCATAGGTAAGCTTGTAACGCATTCCCTGTGAGCAAGAAAAGTAAGACCATTTTAGGTACAGATGATTTAGATTTTGCATAAGATAAGCATACTCTCTTTATTAACAAAACCAAGATTCTCTCACTACAAGGAAAGTCAAGGGTGGCGAGAATTTGGGAGTGAGTGGCATACTTTTGGACTCTGCTGAAAAAAACTTCCTTCAGAAATGCCATTGAAATAGACGTCCCTCTATTCCTTCTTCTCCACTTGTCTTTACAAGTCATGGAAAGATTTGAGTGCAGCAAATGCGAAACCAAAGCGGTCTCTCAGGCGGCCTTCCATGAATTACTTCAAGCTGTTGTTACTAGGCATGGACGATTATCAAATTCGAATGCGATTATTTGAATATTCAAAACTTTTAGAATGTGATTATTGCAATTATTCGAATCTTGCAATTTCGAATACTTTGGAAGCGAATATTGGCATATTTTAGATTATTGCCTCGATTTTGATTTTTTTGGAACCATGGAGCGTGGTACAGTTATTAATAGAGATAAAAGACACTTTTAACTAAGACGGTCATTCATTCCCAAGTGGAGTTGTGGACGAGTTTTAATTAATAACGAGATTGACGATAGGGATGGATGGTTATCAAATTCGAATGTGATTATTCGAATCTTCGAATCTTGCGATTTCGAATACTTCGGAAGCAAATATTCGAATGTGATGCGATTATCTCGGTGCCAATAATTCGAATATCGAATACTCGAATATCTAAATATTCGACCATCCCTAGTTGTTACTGTAGTTATATTCTTATTCTATGGATTTTTATAATCTTCCATAACATTATGCAGAATCCTCAATAGAATTATATACAGTGAAATCTAACACTTACATTTACAATTGTATGACCATTAATAACCCACATTACTCTTGGTCTTGGATAGCCAGTTACACGGCAACAGAAGCGAGCTGGTTCTCCTTCATTGACAGTGCATGGTTCAGGTTTACTGGCGAAAACTGGTTTTGCTTTTGGTTTTTCCTCTTCATCGGGTTTCTCTACCAAGCTCCTGAAATTATGAAAAGCTAATTACAACACAAACAAACTGAATAACCATGTACATTAGTGTACAGGAGTTGAAGGAGACATTCTGATTAATTCCCTTGATTAAAGATGAACAAAAGCTGCAGGACTATTCAGTATTTAAGGATCCAATGAATCTTTAACAAATACAGTTTAAATAAAATTCAAAACCGAAGAATGTAGCCCGAGGATTAATAGCATATAAACCATGGAGGAGCCGTCGTAGGGATAAACGAGTCCATACTGCAGCCTTGGGGTTTCTTCTCTTCTTTTATTGGAAAAAATTCTGAGCTTAAAATTATATTTCTTTATCAGATGAATATTAAACCGTACTTTTTAGTCGTCACTCTTTGTATTACACCACTTTATCCCTTCAGGGTGAAAAATAGGAAATGAGTGATGGATGTAAAAAATTCTTACGTGGACCAAGCAGCTTCCAACTTTCTGATCTGCTCGATACTCTTCATTCCTTTGGGCAATTGGGAGTCATAGATGATTCCTGGTTTGCCGGTCGTCTTGATGATGGCTCTTGTTTCATCCATACCGTACAGATTAGTCGCTCGGCAAACATACTCTCCACTATCTTCAGGATATACCCAGCCAAAGTTCATAGCAACGTAGCCAAAATCGTATACAGGAGTGAACCGGTTCTCTGGAAAAAAGAAATTAAAGGTTGATAGTTACAGAAAAAGAAAGGTATATAACAATTTTAAGTTGAGTAACTATCAGCGGAAAAACTCATTGTTGTTTCGAGGTCTTTGATGAAAATGAATCCTGCTAAAAAACGCAGTCCGTATCCGGTAATCTATTCTCATCATTATTAAGACAAGATGACATCAAGAATATTTCCCAAGTTCAGCTTAGATGGTAGCCTTTTTTCTATTACCGGCCAACGAAAGAGTCATTAAAACATATTCAGTCTTGCAACGATGTTATGAATGAAAAATACTTTGTTAGCAGAGAGATTTTGACAGAACTGGCGAGTGGGAAAAAGTTGGGAAATTGAAGGTTATGACATTAAAATTTTACAGTAGGTTCATTTTAAATAAACCACTCTAAATGAGTCTAAACAGTAAAAAACGTCCATTACTCCTGGCTTGAAAATAAAGTAAAAATTAGAGGGTTAAACCTTAAGATTATAGGCTTAGTATTAATTTTTGACCTTCTAAAAGTACGTGCTTACTTTGTGGTAGGGGTTTGCCATTGAAGAACCATTCAACTTTCATGTTGGGGTCGCCTACAGGAGCAAGCTGACACTCAAAGAGGGTTGATTGCATTTCTACAAGATTTTCTTGGTTCTCAATCTGGGTTACAAACCTAAGTAAAAACAGAAACAAAATCGTCTTGAACTGGTAATGTTTATCAATACATGGAAAAGAAATAACAAAGTTCTACTAATTACCACAATACTACATTATTATGCTATAAACTTGTTTCAATACTTCTGAATTTAAGATGCACAGAAACACCGTAAAAACCTTTCAAATCCTAAGATGTTCAGGCTGGGATGCCTAAAGCTTTCAAGGTTCATTAATGATCTGCTGATTAAGAGGCAAAAAAATTGGTACGTTCACTATGTTCTACTTTGGGTCCATCATGATCTCTACAAGAATGTAAGACACTTCTAAGACTGAATAAATTAAGGCATCAAGTGTGGCTATTCTGTGGTCGGTGCCTACTCACTATCCAGATAGTTTTCGGAAAAAACTCTTATTTCTTACAAAGTCTCTTCATTTTGCATGTCATTTCCTACAAAGCAATTTTCCATGATCAGTTTCTGAGCTTACATTTCACCCGCTCACTACTTCAATTTCATTGATCAATTCAAAATTCATGGAGGAAATAGAATTTGAATGAGATTCTTACCGAGGTGGCTGTTTCTTTTCTGGTTCATAAAGATCCTCCTCTGTCAGGAACACCTCTGATGTATATTGCATGATTGTTGCTTCCATAGCGATGACAGCATCTGATCTTTTCATTCCTTTGGGGATTTGGTTGCTCAATATGATCGTCGGAATTTCTGTGACCAATCGAAACTCATTATTACTTCATTTTATGAGATTCGCACATATTAATAGATTTCATGAGGAAACATTAGATGAAGTAATGCAAGTTGAGTAAATTAGAGGAACACAGCGCTTACTAAATATATTTATTAACCCTTCAAAATCAATCAAAGCAGTATGAAAATTAGTGCAAACCCTTCGGTATGAATTGTTTTTTCAATGTTTTTGGTATAATTCTTTAATTTTGGTCTTCGAACAGTTAAACCAGGGACTGTGAAATGAATAGAAAATAACAATAAATAAGTTGATTAATTAGTGCAGGATTCTTACTCGCCTCTAATTTTGATGAAATTCAATGAAACAGTTTATGTGTGATAAAAAGAGAAACCTACTTTTGCAAGAAACAGTGGCTTTGGTGAAATCTTCCCCGAAGTTATTGTAGACTCTGCAAACGTACTCTCCGGAATCTTCTGGATACACATAAAGAATGTCAAGCGAGACGTATCCTAAATCAAAGACTGTCTTGTATCGATGACCTGAGGGGAGGAGTTTTCCATTACGGTACCATTCAATTTTCAGGTTTTGATCTTTCTTTGGCTCAACTCTGGTTTCAAATCGCACCGGTTCTGCCTCTCCAACACTTACAGATTGAATCTGAAATATAATGAAAAGAGAAAATTAAGTAAAAAGGAAGAGATGGTGAAAATGCTGCTGCTTGTAAAACTCTGATTATTTCCATAGGAGTAAAAAATAATTTCAAAAAAAGTTGTGAGGGTGAAAAGACACTTTCAGCGAATTACGTTCAAAGTTATTGGCTGTCATTGCTGTGGAGCCACCTTCCTTTAGAAACAAGCATTTATGTTACTAAAAAAAACAATATCTAGTCTTAGAATTTTGCAAAGTAACACTTGTACATGCGCTGAATTCATGATGCACTTCTCTAAAAAAATGATGCCAACTTGCTAATACTGTTTTTCCACCTGGAACCTCATAATTTCTATGAATTTACCTTAACTTTAGTGAAAATTGTAAAATTTATTGTTATCATAACACTACAAAAGTAGCTGATATTTTAACATGAAAAATCAACATCACTATCTTAAGCTATCTTATGCCATCAAAATGCAATTTTGAATTGAGATTCTGTACATTAGATGAGGAAGAGAAAGATCAAGTTGGAGGATGCGTTTGTGAAATATTACCTGAGAGAGGAATCGAGGTGGTTCCTCAATGACGACCTCTTCTGGTTGTACTTCGGGAAGCATACCTTGCTCAAGCTTCATCAGTTTGTCCATGCTCATTGCGTCTGGAAGTTGTGAATCCAGGACAATATCTTGTTTCGCTGTTAAAGAAAATTAATTTTCTGTCAATACCATTATTTGTTTTTCTTAAATATGTGCTACCCAATTTAAGGGCTGTGCTCAACTTGATTCTACATGACTTGAATCGAATGTCATTTTCAAAGATCAAGAACACTTAAACTCGGATTGCAAGAATGATGAGAAACTCTGATAATCATTTCAAACCAAAAAATTCAAGCTTGAACAGGCCAAGATATGATAGAGGCAATTTCTTACCCTGATAGCAAGCCTTATTTTACAATACTGAAGGATATATTACTTTACCTGAAACAAGGGCTGGGCGGATTATTAAAAATAAATCCTGAAGAGATGATAAGAATTTGAAAGGAATGATTATAAAATCAAATGGGTTAAAGGAAATTAAAGTCTCTGTTTTGCAAATTATGCATAGGAAATAACATGTGTCACAAATCTCAAGAGAATTATGAATAATACAAATAAGAAGAGAGAGAGAGGAAAGAAAAAAAGAATTTTAAAGTTAGTTAGGTAGTTCAAATTTCCTCACCTAAGCAGGTGAGTTTGGCCTTCGTGAATGCTGTACCCCACTTGTTTGTAGCCCTACAAAGGTACTCTCCGGAATCTCTGGCATAGCAGTAGTCCATGTCCAGAGAAATGAATCCAAACTCATTAATCATGTGAACTCGAGAACCAGTTGCGAATGGACGCCCGTTGAAGAACCAGTCAATTCTCATGGTTGAGTCTTTGGTCGGTTCAACATAGCATTCAAAGTGAGCAGGATTACTTTCCTCAATTTCGATGTCCTAGGAGAAAACAAAATTTTCGGTACAAACAAATTCATTTTTCAATGTTTAACTAAAGAATTAATAAGCACGTAGAGATGGTGTATTCCAAAACAAGAAATAATACTATTTCCACTCAGTACTGGATTTCATAGAAATGATTTCTCACTCTGATAAGAAGACTCACATTACAATACTTAAATACATAATGATGTATGTTAAAAAACGGCTGGAGGGGATAAAAATAAATCAAAAAGATTTGATAATTTTGAGCAAATAAAAATGTTGAGGGTTTAAAATTAAAATTGAATAAATTAAACAATTGACAACAGTTTGTGAAATTCTGATGACTTATAATATTAGAGAAGAGATTATTCCCTAATTGACACGTTAAAGAGCAAATATAAAAACTGAAGTAAGTTTTCCCAATCTAAGGCTTTGAACTCATTATTATGAATATAAATGGTCAGTGTTTTCTTAGTGTTACTACTTTTTAACGGAGCTGTTTCGAAACCTACTAGGATACCCCTACAAGGAGTACTGAGATTTTTATCTAACATTATATTTAGGCTACACCCCCTTTCATCTTTAAGATCATGCATTAGACAGTGAAACAATTTGATTCAGAAAACATTTTACCGAAATTTCTGTCATAAATCTTGGTGGGATAGCTTCTTCCTCCTCGGCCCTGAGTTCTTCTCTCCTGTGCAGAGATTCTTCAAGCTTCTGGATGTGCTCGGTTGCATTTAAGAATATGTTGGGGATCTGTGGCTCCAAGACAACCCCTTGTCTACCTCGGACTTGAAGTTTGCAAGATACAGTTGCTTCACCATGACTGTTAGTAGCCTGAAAAAAGGATTTAAGTTGAAGGATCATCATATATGAAATTTTACTTTACATCAAAAAACCTCACAATGAAAGTTTGAGCAGCTACATAGACTTATTAGTCATTGAAGTTGAGATTCACATCAAGTTATGGGATTTCCGCAGAATATATATGTGCCATCTGGCTGAGGATATTACAGAGAAAAAAAATTCTGCACGTTAAGAGGTTAATTCATAATTACGGAATTGAATGAATGACCAAAAGTTGTTGTCGTCGGCAAATATTCCATTCCATTGATTGAATACAGATGATAAAATCAGGGGTAGAAGTATGACAAGCTAGAGACCGATACCTTCGCAATGCTGCAACATTTAACATCTACAGCTAGTTGGTGACATTTTCGAATTACAGACATCTGTGGTGACATACTTGGTGGGGAACATGCTCAATTTAATTTCCTTGCTTCAAGAACTTCTGAAAATTTCATTTGATACTTCTGATCTTTTAAAAAAAATATTCTGAAATCTCGGCTGACTGACATTAGGGGAAGAAAAATTACTTAAAAACCTGCGGTATTCAATAAAAACACAGCAGGATCAACTCTTTCTAATTTTGATTAAGCTTTGACAGGAACAACTTACTTTGCAAGTATAAAGCCCTGAGTCTCTAATATACACGCCAGAGACCTCAAGAATGACAAAACCAAAATCATTGATGGTCTTGATACGCGACCCAGCAGAGAGAGCTTTTCCATTGTGGAACCATTCAACTCGCATGCTGGAATCGTTGGCAGGCATGAGCCGACATTCAAAGTGTGCCAACGAATTCTCCGACAGGGCTAGATCTGACGGGGTGGTGATGAATTCTGGTGGTTTTCCTTGCTCATCTTCTTGCTCGATAGGGCCACGGACTTGTCCCAGGCCTTCCAATTGCGCAATTTTGTCAATGGTACCTTCCATTCCTTTCGGAAGTTGTGACTCCAGGATGATGCTTCTCTTGCCTGTGAAGGAATGAACCAAAATGATTGTAGTAAATGCATGATTAAAAAAGATTGGCGAAATATTACTAAGTCTGGCTATCTTGCGTCTTACCCAATGTACGTTTGAAAGTTCGAACTTCCAATGTATCTTGGTAAAGCTAGAAATATTCTTCCTATGGACTTATTGGCGAAAAAAAATTATTTAATGTTTCATATTCCCCCAATCTTTAAGGAATATGATATAACCTCACTTTATCCAAATCTTTCACTTTTATTAGGAGTCTAAAAGCATTGTTCCAAAGAAAGCAAAACTAATTGAACTTAAAAATCTATTTAAAGAAATATATTAGTAACTTTTCAGGGATTTTCAACAATGAGCTGAGTTTCTGTTTTTTTATATATATTTTTCAATAAAATAAAAAGTAACGTTTAAGTTTGATTCGAAACTCAGAGATCAAATTGTGAATTGTAGATTCTGTTTTTGGCTTAAAATCAATTTGGTTTCCTTTCAAAAGATTTTCCATCTGTTATTATTTATGCAAAACAGCTAGAAACTTTGAACTCAAAAAATTAAATTAATCCATGTCAAAAATGGCAAAGCATGTTATAGTGAAGGTCATTTACAGCACGGAATATTCTCAAGTGCCCATTGGCACACACTTCATGATGATAAAATTCATACAATTTTCATTTAGCAAGGACATATTACCTTGTACTTTCATGTGAGATGTGGTGACAGCTTGGCCATGCTCGTTAGACGCTCGACAAGAGTATTCACCAGAATCTTCAGGGTAAACTGGAGAGATTTCTAAGATGACAAATCCAAAGTCGCAGAAAGTCCTGAATCGAGAACCAGTTTTTAAGGGATAACCATTCCAGAACCATTCAACCTGTGGGGAATAGATTCATAAACCTTTCAGAAAAAGAAACCTGCGATAAGATAGAAATACATTTTACTTAAAATAAATACAAAGCTACTAATTCAAGAGTTTTATTATTTTCTGAGTGTCTGGCATATCCAGAATATTTAATGTTCAATTGATGTTCCAAAATGGAAAAGGAAAAATTTAAGTATAAAAAAAGCATACATACCTTAAGTTTGGGATCATCTGTTGGTACGACTCTGGCCTCAAAGTGAGCGTTTTCACCTTCTCGCAAGTCGTCCACATTTGCCAATGGGATTGTGAACAATGGCGCCTGTTTCTGATCGATTCCAGTTCTCTCCACACGCGATGATACCATTGAGTCTTCCAGGGTCTGAATTTTCTCTAGACCTCCTTCCATGCCCTGTGACAACATACATTTATGTGATTAGACACCATTAAAAAAGAGTTTTTCTGAATGATGACTTGTGCATATGAGTGGGGTTAGAGCTAAGAAGAAATTCGAAATTTTATTGCACAGTAGGAGTCAATGTTAATGATACGTTGAACCCTAATTTCCACATTCATGATATTTTTTCTTAACTTTGTATTTTTGATAGAAAAATGTCAATGGTTAAAGTAGCATAAAAGTTCTTTACTTTTTCTCACTTACCTGAGGTAGTTGTGATTCCAAAATGAGGCTTGCCTTGGACAAACAGGTCATTTTTGCTTGCGTTGTGTCTGTTCCATAGTGATTGGTAGCTCTGCACTCATAGACACCGGAATTTTCTTCATAGCAGTAAAGGATATCCAGAATGACAATACCAAAATCATGGAAAGTTCTGTAGCGATGTCCATGGGGTAGTTTCTTGCCATTGTAAAACCACTCAACCTGGAGCAGAAAAAAAAAAAAAAAATTAAAATGAGCCGATTTTTTGGTTTACCTCATTAAGACAGACAAGGTTAAGGGACTTATTAGGTTAAGGAGCGGCAGATTTTGATTATTCCGGTAATAGTAACTTTAACAATTTCTTTTTATTTGGATTCCTAAACTAGCCAGAATTCGATCATCAAAAAAATGAGAAATCGTATGAGTGTAAGAGATTCTGCGGTCTATACAGTTTGATATCATGCGGAAAATGACTGTAGGGCTCCTATAAAATAATCAACCTCAATTCTGAATTTCCGACTGTCACAGGAAAAATTTACTTTTTATTTTTCACTGACAACTTCGCATCTCGCAGCCAATTTCCCTGAAAATTTCAACTTCCAGTGCAACATTGGAAAATATTCATTTTTTTACTGGTATTTTTAGAAGATTCTGCCAAAAAGTTTTGATGCTTTCATGATACATTTGTGAATACAATTTTGAAATCAAAGTTAGTGAAATTGCTTTTTTTGGCAAATGCTACTGTACTTTTCAAAAGTAGAAGGAAAGGTTACTAAACTTACGGTGAGATTAGGATCATCTATTGGCGTAAGTCGGGCTTCGAAATGAGCACTTTGCCCTTCCTTCAATTGTGCGATATCCATGATATGCGAAGTGAACTTAGGTGGTTCTCCTCCGGTTGGTACTCCATCGGGGGTAAATTTGACACCTTGAGCCTCCAACTCACGAATGCGAGCCAAGGAATCAGGTTGCAAAGAGTCTAAGTAAACGCCTCCTTTGCCTTCACACTCAATGAAAGCACTTGTGGTATCCTCACCGTACCTGCAGGATTGTAAGAAAAGGGCAATAATGTAGACCACGCAGTTAAATATAAGTTGAACAGAAAGTTAAGAATAAAGCATTTAGTATTTTTGGGAAGTGAAGTTTAAAATTAGAATAGTTTAATACATTACTTTTGGTCTCAAATAGAAAAAGAGCATGCATGCATCATTTTAAAGGTAAATTCTCTATTTAAAGGGTTTATTCTGATCTTCAAAAGTTATTACAGTAAGGTAGAGGAGAAATGCGAACTGATTTGAGATTTCTAATACTGAATAAGCCATGCTCTTTTTATTCTGGTCAAAGTTTCACCAACAAAAAACATTTTCAAAAACCTTTGCTCTTCCTGGCTTTCTGCCTCGGTAGGTTTATAATTTAATGGTGCAACTTGAGCAGAGTATTAACTCAACATTAAAATAGATCATGAGAAGGCTCACTTGTTGCTTGCTTTGCAGACGTATTCTCCCGAGTCTTGACTTTGCACGTAGGAGATGTCCATGACAACGTAACCAAAGTCAGAAACTGTCTTGATACGGTTCTTGTGACGAAGAGGTTGACCATTATGGAACCATTCCACCTTGAGGTCTGGGTCATTGACGGGAATTAACGTGCATTCGAAATGAGCTGAGTCACCGTCCTTGAGACCAGTAAGGGACTGAAAGGAACAAAATTAGTTCTTTTATTAGATGAAAATTATCATTTACGAGTACCCATAGAGGGTGTTGAAGACAAGTTTTTAGGTGAAAGAGAGGCATAATGTCACAAAGTCACCCAAAACTACTATTTTGGCAACATGTCGAATGCATTGACTGCCGGAGTTTGACTGGGTTTGATGAAATATGAAGAAAAGGATGCCACTCTCCTCTTGTCATAAAAATGAATCTAGATACTTCCATTAGCATGAGGAAAATCGATAACTGACGAAACGAAAGTCAGCAACACAGGCGTAATTAACAAAAATAAAAATAAACATGACAAAGGTCATGCTAAGGCCGGCTAAGGGAAGGAAAAAACAATATAGGGTAATCATTTAACTGCTCTCTTGATGGAGATGTAAAGGGTCCTTATAGTCTCAGGGACAGATTTCTTGAAAAATGTATAAAATTAGTCAAATAAGTTTAACTACATTTCTAAAAAAAAGTAAGCAAAAAGTAAAATTAAGGTGTTGGTATCATCTTTTGGTTTCAGCGACAAAAAAAAAAAAAAATTGGAAAAGAAGAGAAGGGGATTTTACAGGAGCATAATTAGCAGGAGATGGACTTCATTAGATACAGAGAAAATAGTAGGAAATCAATGCTTGCACAGGAGTTTTCAATAATCCACAACGGACAGCACCAGGAAAGGGGAACCATTCAAGTCAGTTCCGGATCTCTTTTAACAAAAATAAGGAACAGGATTAGGTTTTATAGACAAATAGTGAGGAGGAAAGTATAAAGTATGGTGAATCTATTCTATTTAAAGAATAACTCAAAATGTGGATCACAAATTAATATACTCTTCTACTCGTCCATTCGCACGAGTAGGTTAAATTTGTAGAGCAAACACAGATGGATTAAGGCACACAGACTGATCATTTGGGTAAAAAAAAAGGGTTTTGAGGTATTTCAAAGTTAGTAATACAATAACTTTACAAGGAAAAAATATGTAACAAGGAGTCTCACCTGAATTTGTGAGGTGAACTGAGGGGCTTGTCCCTTCAACTTCTCGCTGCAGTTGAGTTCAACATTGATTTCAGCTGTGCCCCATTTATTGGTTGCTTTACAGGTGTACGAGCCTGAGTCTTCAATCTTCACATCAAAGATTTCAAGCAGCACCATTCCAAATGCATGAACAGTGCGTATGCGGTGACCTAAGGCGAGCAAGGGATGATAAAGCACATTAAAATATGATAGCTTACGACTCAGATCTAGTCTGCCGCGCATAACGCACGTAAAATTCAACGTGTGTTTAAGCTCTGAGCAACTTATTCTGAACAAAGTGAATGAATGTAGATCAAATGAAAAAAAAAAAAAAATCAGCTTTCTTTATCTCTTTCACTCACCATATTTTACCTCCTAAAAATGTCTGAAAGACGTTTCCTTGAGTAGCAAAAAATACTAATTTTTACAATGTTTAGTTTGTCTCATTTTTTTCTTTCTATTTTTAACATTTTTTTCCAAAAGACTCAAATCAGAAAATGAGCAAGAACTTATGATGTGATAAAAAAGAAGAGCATTCACACTCAGAATAGCAGCTCGTTCTTTTTATTTTCTTTATTCTCATTTTCACAGTGACAGAGATTATTCGTAACTAAAAGCAGGTGGCTGCAATTGCACATTTTCCCCTCCCTTGCGAAGCTTTTTTTTGTATGTTTGATAATAGTAGGTCGGGGTACTGTTAAAAAAAGGTTGTCATTAAAAATAAAATTAAAAAATTCCTTACTTGCTTCAATCTGTTTGCCATCCTTGAACCATTCAACAACCATGGTTTGGTCACCAACTGGTGTCAAAGAAGCTGTGAAGTGGGCATTTTCACCTTCCCTAAGATTTGAAAGATGCTCAAACTGCACAAAAAAATTAAAAACAATTCTATATTATTGAAAAAAGATTTAAAGATCTTCATTGGATAGTAGTTAAATCTGATGAGGAGCTCACTGATTTTTCATGTTTCAGAGGTTTGTTTTCTTGCTTGTAAAAAATTGGGTAAAACCCAATAAAACTTAATTTCAGAAGGTGCAGATCCTGTTTCCTTGAAATTGTTTCCCCTTGAAACTTTACATTCCTCCATAAAGCATGGTTATCACTTTTCAGAATATTTGCACATAAACTAAAATTTTGATACGGCAGTTTTCAGTTAAAGTCAAGTTTTGTTAACAGCAGAATGTTCCAAAAAAAATTAAGAACAAGTAGCAAAAGCTACCTGCTGAGGGGGCGCCGCCCCCCCAGACCCCCCCTTTCAAATTATATATGTGAGACTTTGAGTATCATAGAAGTCGTGCGGCGACATGCCGNCCCTGCTAATGTATTTGCTCCCTATCTTTGCATGGAGAATTTATCATGATGTAGAGGTGGACTCTCAGGATAGCGTGGGATATCCCCTCCATCTTGGCCTCAACTTGAGAGCTTTTTTTGAGCTTGGGAGATGATTTCAGAGAAAACCAGTGGCACCATTGTGTTCCTCGCGAACTTTTATACAAGAATCAACAGTTAAATTGCAAATTCCTCGCACATATAACATCTCCATTGGGCCAAAATGCACCGATATCAATACCTCATATGTTACTTGGTTCCTCGAAAATTCTCCTCTTGGACTTAGCCTAAAAGTGTGGACACTTTTTAGGCTCCGGCGAAACCTAGAGTCTATACGGCTTCGCCGCACGACTAAAAATGAACTATTAGGAACTTAATCTCTTTTTTTTATCATTATGGAGGGAACCTGAAAGTTCAGTCGCTTAAATAAAATTGAAGCTAGGAAATTCAACTGAAAATACTTCATACTCAAGTCCCTTCTTCCTTACTAAGATATTGAACCCACCTGAGTTGTGAAGACAGGTGCATGTCCCTCTTCTTCGATCTCAAGGCGTTTCTCTTCTTTTTGCAATGATTCCTCAAGATGCTGAATGATCTCAAGACCAGCCTCTCCCTTAGGATGCTGGGTCTCTTCGATTAGGCTTGTTTTGGATGTGCAGTAGATTGTAGTTGAGGTGTACGCCTCACCCGCCAAGTTGGTAGCTTTGCAAGTGTAGACTCCTTGATCACGCTCATAAACCTCTGTCAAGTCTAACGTTACGAAGCCAAAGTCACTCGTCATTTTGAAACGAGATCCTGGAAAAATTAATCGAGATTTGTTGGTTTTGATCATTTGGCAACGGCAATTAAAAGGATATTTTTAATTACCAATTGATGACAATATATTTGCTATAATTAAGAGCTTTACTATAAATTGAACGTCTAAATATTATGATAAATTATTGCTCATTTTGATTTTGAAGTATTGATTTGATCTCATAAAGACATTGAAAGGTAAGTAAATAAGTTAAGTTAACTAAAAACAAAAAAAAGAAAGAGAGAAATAGATCATTTGAAAAAATGAAGAAAAAGAGAGGAGACAGTTACAATGTCAAAAACGTACTGACTAAATAGTTCCTGCAGATAACTTGCAATTATTGACAGTAAATGATTTTTTTGCTTCATACCAAAATATTTAAATTTCTCACCAACAAAGACACTCGTTTAATGGTGTCAAATGACTTACCATGTTCTAGAACATTTCCATTGAGGAACCATTCAACTTTGAGGTTGGGGTCGTTCTTTGGCTCAACCGTGGCCTCCAAATGCAAGGCTTGGGTTTCACCCAGTCTAAACTCAGGCTCAAGAGGGGTAATGAAAACTGGTTTTGCGAAAGTTGTTTCTGGAGCTTCGCTCGGCCGCTGGTAACGAGAACCAATTGAGTCTTCAACTTCTTTCACACGCTCTAACCCGGCTTCGCCTTGAGGATGTTGTGTGTCAAGATAAATATCTTTTTTGCCTGAAAAATTAGTAGTAACAACTATGATAAAAGAAAACGAGACACTTTGACATTTATCAGAGAATTAGGCTTTGGTCAATTTAGTTCAATTCGAAGGTATTTTTAATTAATTTTTTCTTCCATTCAAATTATCACCTTCTGGCCAAAAAATCACAAGCGCCACTTATGCTTGAGCACTATGTTTCCCAACTTCTCAAACTTGTCCAATTTTTTACCGAAAAACTAAAGAACAAAATTGATTTAAAATTTTACCGATTATTTATTCTGCCATCAAAATTAATCCCTAGAATATTCATGAAAGTATGTGCAAAATTTTTAAAGAAAACATTGGAACAGTATTGAGATGTTCGCCTCAATAGCGTCTGAGCATAAACGGTGCTTGTGACACTTTAACCGGAAGATGTCGAAATATTAATGCTTGAAAGAGAAAAAGAAAAAAAAAATTTGTAACATTGAAATAAAGTTGCAAAGTTATGAAGAGGCATCGACTGACTGTCCATTACGAGAAATAGGAGAAACAATAGAAAAAGGGACTTATTCATACTAAGAAGAACAAAAAATTCAAGAGAAGCTTACTCGTGCATCTGAGAGACCCAGCAGTCGTCGCTTGGCCTTTGCTGTTGGTTGCTTTGACAGAATAAATACCAGAATCTTCTGCATAGACAGATGTTACATCCAAAGCGACATAACCGAAATCATAGGTGGTTTTGAATCTTGACCCAGTCGGCAGAGGTTGACCATTAAGGAACCATTCTGAAAGAATTTCATAATAGAAATACAGAGATGGAAAGATTTTGATGATCATTTTAGCATAGAATTTTTGCCACTTGATACGTGAAAGAATTGTACGAGGCATAATTAAAAATTAGGCATTATTCAATAATGATAATAAAATATTCTCCCCTACACCATTTTGTATGAAAATATGAGGTAAGATAAAATCTACCATAGAAAAGAAAACGCTTTACTGACGAAATTTTTTCTACATACAAATAGCAATTGGCAGAAATGCAACCCAAATGATGCTATGTGACAAAAATAGGTTTCTGGGACAAAATTACTCTCTGAAAGACAGATCATCGAACAGAATGAGGAAATAAAAACGTTGTATATTGAGATTTTTGGGCTTCTTTACATCAAGGAACTATCCAAAACTCATTTAATTTGAGTCGAACCACAAGGACCATAGAAAAAGTTCTTAACTAAAAAACTTATAAAAAAACAAAGATATGAAGTTCTTCTCACCAATATTCAAAGTTGGATCCTTTGATGGTTCAACACTACACTCAAAGTGAATGTTATCTCCTTCATTACACTCTACGTTGTTCAAGTGAGAGATGAAGACAGGGATTTCGAAGATGGGCTCGGGTGACTCCACTTTTGTTGGTTTCGGTTCTTCGAGAGCCTCAATCAGTGGCAGCGCATCTGGGTGAAGTGGTTTGGAAAGAAGCCAGTGGCGATCTAAAAATTAAATTAAGCAACAAGTTAACAAACTTTGTAGAGACTTTGAAACGGTAAAGTATATTACATAGTTTGACATTAATTACAGAGTTATTCTTAAATTTTGAGAATCACTACCAGACATACATAAAACATGATTGAATTTAACAAAAACATTAAATGCACACAAGACACTTGAATTCTTTTTTAAAGGAAAACAAGAGTCACTGAAAATTGTTTAAAAATTTCTATATGGATTTTTGAGGGTGGTTTTCGATTTTCACATTTTTATTTTTTTCTTCATGTATTTCATTTTTTTCCTTTTTCTTTTTTATACAAGACTGGAATAATTGATAGAAACATTCTCACCTTCAATTTTTAAAGTACAAGTAGAAACAGCTTCTCCCAAAAGATTAGTTGCTTTGCATGTGTAGATGGCAGAGTCATCTTCACGGAGGTTGTTAATCGAAAGAGTGACTAATCCAAAATCAAAAGTACTGCGAATTCGAGAACCTGAGGTGCACAAAAAGATTAAACATTAAGTCATAAAATATTTATTCGAGACAGTGGTATTTTTGAACGTTACTGGGGGCTGGAAGTATCTTCAAAGATCTTCAATAAATCTTTTTAGTTTTAAAATAAGTCAATTTTAACTAAATTAATCATTCACATGGACCCCAAATGTACTAAGTTGAAAAATTCTTCCAGGAAAAAATAGGGCTCGGCATAGTGAGGGATACGGTTGAAAAATTTGTAGAATAAGTCTTACCAGTTGTGAGAATAACACCATTTTTGAACCACTCAATACGCAGGTTAGGATCAGCGCGGGGCTCAACTTGAGCTTCCAAGTGGACATGCTGGCCTTCCACCAATTTTGCCTGATTTTCTAGATGAGTGGTAAATACTGGGGCTTGCTGCGGGCTCGTGTCAATGAACATTTCTGGAACGCGATTCATCTCAGCTTCTTTCAGTTGGATCTTCTGCCAAGCATCTTGTTGGATAGCATCAAGTTGGATGGATGATTTTGCTGAAAAAGCAAAAGCATTATGAAAATTCATCCGCACAAAAACAGTTCACAGGATATGACTGCAACGCTGACCGCATCATTTTCTCACCCCTTTGAACCAAACTCAGGAGTGAGAGAATGGTTGCAGCAACTGCATATTATCCTCACATCTTAACTGAGAAAGAAAAACCTTGGCTGTATAATTCCAAAATTATTTGAACGTAGAAATCTAAAAAAAAAAAAAAAAAAAAAAAAAAAAAAAAAAAAAAAAATCGAAATAAAAAGTTGAATTGACAACTCAGTTTCTCTTTTTTTCCGGTCGTAAGTAAGTTTGTAATCATCTCAAAACGTCTTGGGTTTTTTGCCCGATTTCTTTTGTTTTTGATTTCTTATATTTTTCAACAACCTTTCCTCGATTAAGGTGTTATTTTCCTTTGTTTTTTGGCTGACTAAGTCAGTCTTTGTAAAGATTTATGATTGACCATACTCTGAACTCTAATAAAGCTGAATTTTATAAAAATTTGAATGAGAAAAGAAGCCTAAACTTACATTTGATTTTCACAGCTGAAGAGCTGACTGCCTCTCCAGCTTTGTTAGTGGCTTTACACATGTAAACACCCGAGTCTTCTGCAACCGTCTTCGAAATATCCAAAGTGACAAAACCAAAGTCATGAGTCGAGTGGAATCTTGATCCTGAGCAAAATAGAAGTTCACATAAAAAAGCCGCAAATTTACAACTGATGATGGTGTAAACTCCTACTTCACTTTAATTTCACTGGCATCAGTTTATCAAGGGAAAGGGAATAAAACATTAAAAATCTCTTTTGATAGAACATGTAGTGGTAGGGAATATCTGTGATTCAGTGATAATGATTTTATTGAGAGAAGTTTTCTACCAGGCTAGATAGAAATGGAGCTATTTGACACTGTCATCGAAGATCTAAATCCAAATTTTAAAAAACCAAAACATTTAGAACCTTCACAGTTAAAATGGAGCAGAGTAGATCAAGGGTGGAGATTTTATGATGGTCACACTGCAAATGATGAAATATACAAGAATATTACGATACATAAATATTTTATGTATAGTAATACCTCGATTATTTGCCCATCACGTATCCACTTATATAGCACAACGATGAGGCACGTTTACACATTATTTTCCTTTTTTTCTTTGTTTTTTTTTTTTTCGTTTTCTTTATTCTTTCAATGCACATTGCAAGTGGTTTTATGTCTTTTTATGCAATTCCAACAATCCAGTAGTACTCGGCTTGCACTTCTGTCAAAATTCATCAGATAATCGAGGAAGTATTGTAAAAAATGGATGATTATGGCAAAGACTTACCCATTTTCAATTCCTTTCCATTGACATACCAATCGAATTTCAAGGAAGGATCACCAACTGGCACAACCCTACACTCAAAGTGTGCCGTTTCTCCTTCCCACAACTCTTGAGGCCCAGTCAATAGCTGAGTGAAGATCGGTTTCTCAAAGTGTCTCTCCGGTTCTTCTGGTCTAGGTGTGACTCGCCCTTGTTCAAGTTCTTGAATCTTCTTCATACCTTCTGGATGTTGCGTCTCTAACTGAATATCAGCTTTGGCTGCAGGCACATTGTACACATCACAAATTAAATTTTATTGAGGGAGCAATAACTTCCAAATTCCATGATAACTAAAGTTTCTAGCAACGCAGTTAACTTCCAATGATGTGTGTTTCAGCTGCTTTGGACAAACTTTTCATAAAGTTAAACATTTATGTGGACTTGTCAAATTGCTGTAAGATGTACGTTAACACTTTACTACTAGCTTGACTTCGCAACTAGAATGGTGTCCACTTAATTCACTAAACCCACTTGACAAAAATTGCTTTGACTCGGAAAAGTAAAGTAGATCAGTGTGCAATAAAACACATGCGGGAGCTTTAGGAAATTTGTATTGGAGCCGAGCTGGTTGTAGCTATGCACTTTGTGGCTTTAGTGCAGAAGCAAAAGAGAGGTTTCAATGAGCAAGTTTTTACTTTTGTAGGAAGTAGTAGGGGATAAGATGCATTTAAAGAACTTTGAAAACTTACTCTTTATCTTCATAGAGGCTACTGTCACAGCCTCTCCGAGAGCATTGGAGGCTCTGCACATGTAAACACCCTCATCTTCATCTCTGACATGAGATATATCAATGGCAACATAACCAAAGTCTTCTGTTCTTGTGATTCGAGAGCCTGTAAAAGATAGAACATAAAAATAAAGTACAAAACTAGAGGGGGGAAAAAGCAGAACAATATGCAAAATGGGTAATATTCTTCCAGGCATTCTTCCTCTTTACAAATCAAAGTCGATTGCTTTTAGAGAGAGGTTTTTCACCTACTGCAGAAAGGAATGGCTGTTTTTGTCAAGCTATGGCGGTTTTTGAGTTTTTAAGGTTCGACTAGATTTAGGGAAATTTACCCTCATTTTTTCTTGGACCTCCTTTTTTTCAAACTGATTATTGAATTTCTAAACAAAGCAATAATTATCAATAATTTTAAATATGTTCACAACTGATACATCATTAAAATGTGATTTTTTTTTTTGGTGCAGAAACATCAAATTTTAAGAAATGATACATAAGACAAAAGAAATTTGAGAGAAAACCAAGGGTGGTCAACACATGTTCTACCTTATTCATTAGAGGTGCTTACTTGTTTCAAGAGGTTTTTCGTTCCTGTACCAGTCCACTTTCAGAGTTGAATCTCCGACTGGAATTAAACGGCATGAGAAGTGAGCAGTCTCTCCTTCGTTGATTGAATCTATGTTCTGAAGAGGTTGAGTGAACACTGGTCTCTGGATTGTGACAGGTTCGGGAACTTCTGGCTTTTGAGGCAAACCAGCCTCCTCCAATTGCCGGATTTTATCGAGTCCCTCTGGTCGCTGAGATTCTGTGATGATACTATCCTTGGCTGAAAATAGAAAGACAAACTAACATAGAAAATTGATCAACAGTGTTCAAATCCAAGGGGGGCAAGATAGGAGAAAATTTGGCTACACACTTAAACTTTTTAAATGAGAGTAGTTACACCACTACAAATTACTCCCGCGACATCACTATAGAAAACTATCTGATTATATTTTCAAGCCAGGGACATGCTGTTTTTAGCTTTGAATGTTTTTCTTTCTTCAGGGTCCTGTCAACCTAGTTTTACTTGTTGAAGCACTATTCTGGATGAAAAAAAATATCAAGAAGAGGTTGCAATAAAAGAAATTATACTGAAATACGAGCAAATAAAAAAGCATGTTGGGGGCTCAGTGCAGACTGAGCAGGAGTTGTTGGAGGAATATTATGAGCCTGGCTTTGGTTTGGTTAATATGTTTGTTTCAAACAAAATTGTAGAAAAAAGTCATCATTTGTTCATTAAAATGGCAAAGAGATAAAAAACAAACCTATGACTTTGAGTTCGATGGTGGACATGGTTTCTCCAAGGAGATTGAGAGCGCTAATGGTGTATTCGCCCGCATCCTCAGGGACACAATGGTCGATGTCGAGCGATACATAGCCGAAATCAAAAGTGATGTGGAATCGAGAGGCGGACGGAAGTGCTTCGCCCTCGTGGTAAAACATAATATGCAAGTTCGGATCATGCAAAGGCTCAATTTGGCATTCAAAGTGAGCGGTCTTGCCTTCGTACACCTCTGTTGTACCCTAAGCAAGCAAAGAGGAAGGTTAAAAAAGGACAAAAGAACAATCAATAAAATTTCAACGGTCTATTAATAGTCAAACTATGATCAATTAAAAAATGTCAGGCCTTTACAATTCCTTAGGACTCAAAAATTGCTCTTGGCACAATTTGAACATTGAATTAAAAATCTGATCAAAATCAATTTTAAACTTTTTGGCAAAATTAAAAAAAGGACTTTATGACCAGAGTAATTTTAAGTGTGCCGAATTTTATTTTCAGATTTCATTATTCCACAAAAATTTCACAATTTATTCCACCTTGTTTTAAAGTTTTTTATCCAAAAATCATTTGAGCTTTTCTTGCTATCAAGTATCTACTAAACTACTAGAAAACATTTTTTTCCAAGATTTGGAGCATTGAAGTTTGCTGCATTTCTACATCTCCTTCTTGCGGAGAATTTGCAACTTGTTTTTTAGAATCAGTATAAATAACAAGGGCACACAGAAAAAAATTAAATTTAAAGGGTAATTTTTTACATTTTATTGACAGTATTAGTGTGCCAAGAGGGAACCGTTTACTATTCAGGTTTTATAGCAAAATAAAAAAAGTTGCACAATATTAGCAGCATTGAAATCCTCTTGCTCCTTTGTGTTGAAATGAAGTCAATTCTTCCTTGGGAGAAAAATGAATGTATCTTTGCAAAAGCAGTGGCACTGTCTTACAATTAACAGATATTTTAAACGCAACATGGACCATCAAGAAAGGTCAGCGGCACAATTTTCAAACAGATACGGATTTTAGCTCAATATTTTTTGGCAACATATTCAAAATTTCATCAAGATTCAACTGAATCCAGGTTTCGTCTCCTATCAGAGTCATTATTAATTTTGTAAGGAAGGATAAAAGAGGAGGCACTTCAAAATATGGACAACAAAAAATTTACCCTAAGCTCTGAAACAAAGCGTGGGGGAATTTCAATGGGTTCTTCAATTTCCAGTTTAGCTGGTCTTCCCTGAGCTTCAAGTTCACGGATCTTCTCCAAACCGTCAGGATGCTGTGACTCTAAGTAGATACTGCGCCGAGCTGTAAAGCAAAATTAAGAATGTAGCTTCTAAAATATGCAAAAATGCTAAAAATAAATTAAAAATTATGATTAGCATTCAGCTTCAAAGACTGTGAATTTGAACAGCACATGGTGGTGTAAAAGAATACGAGCAAAGAAAATCATTGAAAGATATTTTCCAAGAATTGAGGAAAAAACGTAATTAGACTTAGTCTTGGAATAAAATTTTGTGCAGGAGAAGAATTTCTTGTTTTATTTTTTCTTAATATATTCTTTTAACATTAAATATATTTTCAACCAAAATGTCTAATTCCAGTGTACTGTATATTCTGTCAATATTCCTGAACTAAAATAGGAAACCACTCACATTGAACCTTGATTTCACATGTATTGACTGCTTCCCCATGTTGGTTAGTTGCTTTACACATGTAAGTTCCGGAGTCTTCAGGATAGGCGTAAAGTATATCCAGGGCAACATATCCAAAATCATGAGTGGTCCTGAATCGATGGCCTGTCTTAATTGGGACTCCATTGACAAACCATTCAACGCGCAGGTTAGCATCGTTGATAGGCTCCACGCGACACTCCAGATGAGCATGGTCACCTTCACGCAGTGCCTCTAAGCTGTGAACGAATGAACACAGAATGAAACTTGATGATTTCTGGTGGCTTTTTTGTAATATTTAAAGTCTAATTTAGAGACTACGAATTAATTTGGAATTTTGTGTCGAAAATTTGTGAAAAGGGATCATTCTTTAGATTTTATAATTTTCCAGATCGTCCTGTTCAAAAATATTTTTTCAGTGAAAAAACTGTTGCTGTGCGGATCACTGTTTTTTTTGCCACATGAACTTTGATTCAAGGTGCATTTTTAAAATTCTTGAGTAGAATTTTCATACGGCTTACTTCGCAAATGAGGCAAAACAGACCTGCAATAATGATATTTAAAGATTAAAAAAATGGATTACCTGTTCAGAGGCGTGATGAAGACTGGTCTCTGAACTTCCGGCTCAACTTCCTGTGGTTTGGGGCGTTCGTACGCCTCTAACTCACGGATTTTCTTTAGCCTTTCTTCATCAAGCGTATCCAATTGCAAACTGGATTTAGCTGAAAATAGGAGATAAAAAATCATCGAAATCTTTCCTCCACTTTAGGAATTTAATGTACCCTTATTCCAACATCCAACGCCCTCCTTACTCTATCTTTAACGAACAATAATATAATTTAGTGTGGTTTTTATTCTCAAATATGGAGATAAAATAAAGAATTTTAATCAAATTTTCCTCCCCTTTTATTCTCCTTTAAATAATATTTTGCAATAGTTACCATTTTGAAAGCAAGAAGATATTAGTTGAAAAGAATGACAATTGTTTTTGACTAGAACTTTGATAATCAAAAATTATATTTTACAATTCCTGAAATCCTGAAGCTACATACATGGAGACACTATGCATATGCTTAAGTTTCTTATTAGGTACTTACTTTAAAAGAATATTTCCGACAGAAATGCATCAAAACAAAAAACAGTGGATATTATAACCTTGAATTTGCACATTGAAAGATCTTGAAATTTCTCCACATTTTGATTGAGATTTATTAGAAAGAAAATTGTTGTGTAGAATAGAGAGGAAATTTGGAAATAATTGAATACAATTACAAATTTAACAAAATCATGGTCATTACTAAATTTTGAAAAGAAATGTGGCAAACTGGAATGATTTGAAAAACTAAAATTTAAAAGAGGTTAGGATAGATGCAAATATCATTGATATGGCAACCGCGAAGGCTTGAAATTTTTGATGAAATGGGAAAAATTAATATAAATTGAATTGAACTGAATGAAATGGTGCTTTTTAAGGGAAATAAATTCGAAATTTTCTGTAATCCAAGAAATCATTAAATGTAAAAATAAATACATAGTGAAAACAACAGTTACTTAAATAAATATAAATAAAAACAATAATTATTGAGTGTCTTCCTGGGAAAGGGCAGAGATATGAGAGAAGAAGAGTTGTTTAAAAAATTAGATGAACATTCTCATCGTAAAAAGTAATGATTTGGGGTTATTGGGGTATATTTGCGATTGATTGACTTGGGATTTTTCATGAAAATCTATTCGTAATCATGGGGTAAGAGTATTATGAATGGTAGTATTGTAGGGTATTACTTACAGTCAACCGATACTGAGCAAGTGGAGATAGCTTCTCCCAAGGAATTTGAGGCTTTACACATGTAAGTGCCTGAGTCTTCAGCATATGCATACAAGATATCAAGCGCAACAAATCCAAAATCATATACAGTTTTGAAACGATGACCTGCAATACATTGAATACATGAATCAGTCAATTTGCTCATATTGAACATAATCTACATGCAAGGGAAGAGGAATGTACAAAAAATTATCTTTTTTGGGAACATCGTGTAAAGACGATCAATAGATAATACATTTTTCCTTCAGTTTAAGAATTATGGTTATTTTTCTAAACAAACTTTGAAATTTTTTACTTTGGTTCATTATCAATGCATTCTTGTTTTAATCTTTATTTGCTGCCTTTGTTGCTTTTATTGCAAATCCTTATTTTGATTTTCAAAAGTAATTTTCATTACGAATTTTATATGTATTCTTCGTGAAGTAGTTTGAATTTTTTCCATTGATTCAATGATAGGTTCAAATAAGGAGAGCTGAATTCAAATCATTTTTAGATATTTTTAAACCAATTCAGATTTGAAAGAGTGTAACAGCAGTGAACTTTCACACAAATAAAAGGCACATTTTTGGTAGATCAGTTACTTAATTGCGCCTTTCTTTTAAAAAAGCATCACCTTGAGGAATCGGCCTTCCATTGCAGAACCACTCGACTTTCATCGTGGGGTCATTGACAGGCGTCAGCGTTGCTTCCAGGTGAGCAGACATGCCTTCCGCAAGGTGCTCAATATTGTTCAGACCACGTCCAAACATCGGTTTCTCTAAAAGAACTGTTTCCTCTGTTTGAACTTTTTTGTAGCGAGAGTCATCTTCGAGGTACTGGATCTTCTGTAAAGCACCTTCGTGCTGGGTGTCCAAAATGATCGATGACCGAGCTAAACAACATTCAAGAATAAAAAATGTCAATACATACTTAGATGATACACGATGATGAAAAAGTAGGAATAAGGCAATTTCATTTTTCGGTACATTCAAGCTCAAGCAAAAAGGTCAGAGTATTCAACTTGAACTCATCGGCAAGTCATGACAAAAATACCAGATTATGATTGACCAAATTTGTTAGAAACTATTAAAAAATCCAGTTAATGGAAAAAACAGTTTTTTTTTTTTTTTTTTTTTCGCAGCAACGAGTCTAAATTTGGAATTCTGCTTGTGGAAAACATTCTTCGAACATAGTTGGCATACATTGCAAGGTAAAATACAAGACCGAGCTCCAGAATAGTATAAGTTAAATTAGTTTTCACCTTCTTTAGATAGTTGTTTTTTTTGCTGGTTCTCAACCCTTCTTAATGGGAACATCGTAAAAAAAAATGTCAACCTTGACGGCATTTTGTGAATGTGCTCATCCTGATTTTTGAGCCACTTTCCATTAGATGAATATCTTTTTTTCACTAGGACTAAACTTTATGACAAATCTATCTTCCGCTAAATAGCAAGGAATTAAACCAATTTTCGGTATGGAGAACTGGCACAGACCTGAGAAAAAATCTGGTAAACCGTAAAATCCGGTTAGAAGAAATCAGGATTAACTTACATTGCACGTGCAATTCAATATCAGATGTGGCTTGGCCGAGTTTGTTGACAGCTCGGCATGTATACTTTCCAGTGTCTTCTCCGTAGACCGACAGAATATCCAGGGAGGCAAATCCAAAATCAAACGTAGTTCTAAATCTGTGTCCTGGATGAAAAAGGATAGTTGTAAGTAAGATAAAAATAGAAAATGAAATCCTTGAAAATGTTGCGCACAAGACAACGAGAGTATGTGTATATTTTCACTACATGTTGACAGAATAGGAAACTTCTCATGAAGTGTAATATTTGTTGATACACTATAATTATGTCAATGAGTCAAATAAGACCAGAGAGGAGTAATTCTTGGATTCTTGCAATGGAGCGCAATTGTTTTATTTCAAGTTCCAAAGTTATCAATGGAAGGGATGAAATTCAAGAGTTCAATGTATCCTTCTCAATCTTATTGAAATCAAGCTGACTTTTTGCTCTCCTTACTTACAAATGTCAATAAGTCTGGTTACAGAATGCAAATAGGATCCTCACTTAAAACCACTTAAGTTGACTAAAGACAATCATTACTGCAGCAAATAGCCTCTGTTCTTGCAAGATTCTAAAAATAATTTGTTAGTTGTTTACATATAACAAAAGAAAAATTAATACTCTGCTAAATTCTGAAACCTTTGCTCTTCACATTTCATAGGTGTTTTTTTTTTTTTTTTTTTTTTTTTTTATTTATTTTTTTTTATTTTTTTTTTTAAATTAAAAGCCTTTGTAATTGCTAGTTAACAAGCATTTAAGATGCAATAAAAAATCTGCATGATAACTTGAATTTATTGAGAATCAAACCTGTTTGTAACGGTTTTCCATTGTGATACCATTCCAGTTTCAAGCTAGGATCTGGGTACGGCTCGATACGGCATTCATAGTGGGCATTCTGTCCCTCAACTAATTCTGTAGGGCCATTCAGCTGAACGGTGAAATTGGGAGCTTGCGTAACTTTGATTTCTTCTTCTTCCCTTCGCTGGTATTTTGTTTGTCCTTCTAGCGTTTGTATCTTTTCCAGAGCTCCTTGATGCTGGGTGTCCAGTTGCAGAGATGCTTTGGCTATAGGGCCGAAAGAAAAATAGATAGATTTCAACAATATGGATTTAAAACAAGAGGATGGCGAATACATTGTCTTTGTGAAGCCAAAGCTTGCAATCAAGCAAAGAAAATTGGGACTGATTATTTTTTAATGTTACGCTCATCTAGAGGAGTGTTCAAAAAGAGTAGCATTAATTCTCAACATTTTTATTGAAAGTATAAAGTTATGAAGGGAAAGATAGAGAGAGAGTAAAAGAAAGGAGGTGCTCACATTGAACAACTAATGTTGCAGAGGTGATGGCTTGACCCAAATCATTCACGGCTCTGCAAGTGTAAGTTCCAGAATCTTCAGGATAGACATACTTCATGTTCAGTGCCACATAACCAAAATCGTGCATTGTTGTGACACGATTTGCTGCAATAAGAAAGAGAATAATTGGATTAATAAAATGTATGATTGACACAGAGTTTGTTTTTACAAAAATACTAATAAATATTTTTAAGTTAAACTAAGGAATCAATTTGTTCAATATAATATTTATAATTCGTAAAATTTGCAAATGCATTATTTGTAATGCTCATTTCATCATTGAAACAAGTCTTTCAATAGTCTCGACCAGTATGAGCAACCTTGATGATTGACAAAATACTTTGGTAATTATTACGCTAGTTTGACAGAACGGAGGATCACAAACATAATACTATGGAACTTTTTCAAGTAGGTAAAGTATTGTCATTTCATTTTTATAAGCAAATACCAAAGAAGTAATGATAAAAAAAGATGGGAAATACTTCAAAATACAGTAAGACCTCGATTTATTGGATTTCACGCGACCGGAGGCCGAATCCGTAAAATCGCGGAATCCGCTTAATCGCGCTAGTCGGTCTCGCTGAAGGGACCGGAGGATCAATCCGTTAAATCGCGGAATCTATTAAATCGCGATCCGATAATTCGAAATCTTACTGTAATGCAAAGTTAATCGCTCAAGGTATTGTTGACTCTCTTGAAAAGAATTTTTGAACAAAGCATGAGTATACATTTTTTAATCAACTCACATGCAGTGATGGGGACGCCATTTCTCAACCACTCAACTTTGAGCCTGGCATCACCTACAGGTATAAGCCTGGCTTCAAAGTGAGCAGCCTGGTTTTCTGCAACTCTCAAATCTCTCATAGGTTGTGTGAAAACAGGAGCTTGATTGACAATCTCCTCTGTTACAGCGGAGCGATGGTAGCGTGAAGAGTCCTCCAGCTGGTGAAGGCGGCTCAGAGCATCTTCATGATGAGATTCGACGAAAATGGATTTCTTGGCTGAAAATAGAAAAGACAATTTATCAATAACATAGGTAGAAAACCAGTTGGAGGCAACTTCGTTTTGTAATTTTTTCAATGTTCTAAAATATTTGAACAATCCGCCAAAGGAAACCATGGAAGGAGTGACTACATAAGGGTTCACTGCACACACAAACTTACCTGCAGCCATGCAATAAACAGGTAAAATATTGAGAGAAACTTGGCCCCTAAATCTACAAAAAGAGCACCTTGGGCTCTCATTTATTTGTTCATATCATGACAATTAGGTAATATCTTTTAATTCATTGACTTAATTTTTTTTTCTTCAGTTCAATGGCTGACCCCAAGTCAATTTTTTATGATCTTCTCCTAATAGGAAAATTGATACCTACACTGAACATTTAAGGCAGCTGAGGTAACAGCTTCACCCAAGATATTGTACGCTCTGCAAGTATAGGTTCCAGAGTCTTCTGGTAAACAATGCGTAATGTCCAGCGCAACAAAACCAAAGTTATTTGTCTCGGTGAATCTTGAACCTGTAAAAAATAGAAACAACGAGTTAGTACAAAACCTTGGCAGAAAAAGGTTTGCATCCCTGAATCAACATGAAGAATTATATTTTGTCCACAGACAGGTGACTTACTTATTTGAAGAGTTTGCTGAAAAAGGGTGCATGGTAAAATTGGTCTTTGTTTTAGAAATCAATTAAACAGCATCTGTATGAAAAATATCATGTTTTTATGATGGTCCAATGCTCCTAACAAGAATTAGAGGCAAAAATATGCAAAGCCGCTTTGAGCTCAAAGTTTCAAATGCAATTTGCTCAAAAAAGAATTGTTCCATGACGCCCTTTTGCAGGCAAATTTTTATATATTATCAGAGCTTAAAAAGCACAAGTATGAAGTTGACATCATTTAATGGTATCTCGTTAACTATTGATAAAAAATAAAAACTTTCAAAACCCAAAATTTTGGGTGTATGCCAAAAAGACCCAGCTAGCTTCTACAATACCTAAATTTAAACTAGTCTTGTGACATGCACATACCAAAATTATAATCATATTTTCATTTATCTTTTTCCCATCAGTGCGGCCACTATGACCATCAAAGCACTTTCATTGCCAGAACTTTATTAAGATTAATTCAACACCTTTGAAGAAGTCCAAAAACTATCTTTTGGGCATAGAAAAACTCATAGTTATGAGAAATACAACTGCCTATGGAACTTGATACAGATAAACAATTGAACCATGTTTAAATACATTTTTACCAAGAAAGTAAAGTAAACATCAATCACATACCTGACTTTAGCGGAACATTATTGTGGAACCACTCCACCTTCATTGTGGGGTCAGAGACAGGAATAATTCTGCACTCAAAATGTGCTCTCTGGCCCTCCTTGATATCACAGTTTTTCAACGATGTAGTGAAAATCGGAGCTTGTGACGTCGTCTCCTCAACATCTTCACGGCGCTGGTACCGGGCACGGTCTTCCAAATAGTGGATCTGTTCGAGACCAACCTCATTTTGGGTTGAGGTCACAATTTGGGCTGAGGAGCGACAAGTTAATGTGACTCTGGTTTCATCAACGCCAACTAAGTTTGAGGCACGGCAAATGTAAGTGCCAGAATCCTCTGCTATAAGGTCGATGATGTCCAAAGCCACATAACCAAAGTCGTGGATTGGTCGGAACCTATGCCCTGAAAAAAGAATAATTCATAATTTAATGTATGAGTTGAATTTTTAAAATTTATGTCTGCCCAATGCAAATTCAATTAATGGAATTAACAGACGATTAAACTACAAATTCCAATACATTTATTATATCTTGATCTGGAAAATTTTGCAGTTTTTTCTCTTATACTAGGGTATTTTGAAGACTTTATGTCTACTTCTTCAATAGAATCCTGATACATTCAGACAATTTTACAAATCATTATTTAACCTGTTTTTAAACATTTCGAATCAAATGACACTTAACATCATTCCTATATCACTAAAGTGTCTTGCTACAATACAGCATTACTTCACAGTACTTAGTAAAATTCCTACCTCTCAGCTAGAGATATGTAAATTCATGCCCATTTAAAAAACTGGTGATCACCAACAGTGGCATGGCGTGAATGATCGATTATCGATATCTTGCCATTTGAAGCTATGGTAAAGGATCGATTACTAAGGTGTTCGCTGCGAACACCCTAATGATTGATCTTTTTTCATAGGTTTGAGTGGTGTATCGATCGATATATCGCAAAGCACGCCACGCCACTGATCACCAAACTGGAAAAAATCCGCCAGTTAAGGTAAAGGCAACCTATTTTTACAGGCAAATGAGTACATGGGTGATTAATCCTTACCAATTGTGACTGGTCTTCCATCTTTGAACCATTCAACTTTAAGATTAGGGTCTGTCACTGGTTCTAACTTGCACTCAAAATGAGCATGCGCTCCTTCTCGTTGATTCTCTAAAGGTTTAGGTTTGGTCAAGAACCTCGGTTTGATCTTGATAACTTCATCTACGTATTCAGTTTTCTTGTAGCGAGAGGAGTCCTCCAAGTACTGAATCTTTTCCAGGCCACTTGGGTGCTGTGTTTCCAAGAGTAAGTCTTTTTTAGCTGAAAAATAAAAGGATTTAATTAAGTTCTTTTTATAGATTTTAAGACTCGGTGTTTGGAGGTGCTCTGTAATATGAAACATTTACATGCTCCTAATTAGTTCTCGACAGTTCAGGCTGTTTTACAGCTGGGCACAAGATCAACAAGATATATGAACACGCTGAATATTAAGGGAATTGCCAAGTTTTTTTTCGATTCAACGCTTCATTGATTAATTTTTTTGCAGAATCTTAATGGGGTTATGTAAAAGGTAAATTTTAAGGATCATGAAAAGTAAGAGCGCTTTCACTTTCAATTTCATTATGGCTGCTAAATATTGGGACAATTGTTGCATTATGGTTTACTTCCACAACTCTACATGTTAGACATTCATTAAAGACCTTTAGTTCATTTCAGTGTTTCTGATAAAATCATGTCAAACAATCTTACGTCACACTACTTTCCATCTGATAAATACAACACACTGAAAATACAGCATAAAATAATCAAAAGATAATCCGTAAAAAAATTCTTACCAATTATTCTAACAGAGCAAGATGTTACTGCCTCACCAAGCTGATTGCGAGCTTGACAGGTGTAAACACCTGAGTCCTCTGGATACACACACAGTAGATCCAAGGCAACATAATCGAAATCGTATGCAGGTCGGAATCTATGTCCTACAAGAGTAGAGAAAAAATTAAAATAATTCATGAAAGAAATTCGTTTACATTCTAAGACAGTAAAACGGGGAAAAGCGGTTAGGAATTGAATTAAAAGAACAAAATTTCAAATTCAGAACGGTTCCTTTTTTGATATGCCGATGAGATGACATTCCTACGACAAAAAGACAATATCCAACATACCTAAAACTATCTAACTAAAACTGTGATGAATATTTTATTACAATACTTAAAATTATTTGAAGGAAATATTTAAAATCAATTTTTTTTGTTTTTTTAATATTTCACTTTAAAATGTATATATATATGGCCAAAGTGGGAAACAAGGTACCTCCATTATGTTGTTTCAAAATTATTGCCCCTAATTTATTTTTTAAAAGAGAAACAAGCCAACTTACTTAGCTCCAAATTTATGCAGTATACTGTGCTAACAGAGATGAAAAATCAAGGTAGTTTCCAAGAAAATACATTGACTAGTTTCCCAATGAAAAAATAATGTATGACAGGAAATCTACAACTTCAAAAACGGAATTACGCGGTTTTGCACTTCGGCCGTCAATATATCTTCTGAATGCCTCTCCAAACCTAATATCCCTACAATAATCCTGCAAGAAATTGAAACAAATAAAGTAGCGTAAAAGGATTGCAGATCAAACATTAGGCATTGACCACCGGTAGAGGTAATAGTAAATGTATGTAGTAATGTATATGGAGGAATTTAAATGGAGAAATTTTACGTACCAATTCGAACAGGTCGGCCATTGACAAACCAATCGACTTTCATGGAAGAATCTCCAACAGGCTGAAGGCGACACTCAAGGTGAACGTTTGTACCTTCAACAGTCTCAATATTGTGTAGCGATTTAGTGAACTGTGGTGGCTGCATGATTGTGGAATCTTCGGTAATATACTGGTGATGGCGTGATCCTTCTTCCAAGTACTGAATCTGCTCGAGGGCTGATTCATTCTGCGACTCCGTTATGATATCTGAACGAGAGGTAACCTGGTACAAAAAAAAAATCAATAAATAAATACAAAAAATGAAATGATATTGTATTTAAATGCAACTGGGGGAAAAGACACATGGAATACTGAAAAAAACATTTTCTTATGACACTTTTGTAGTCTTCCCTGACATTTTGAGGTTTTCTCTGATATTTTAAAATTCATTAACATTTTCCGGTTTTCCCTAAATGAGAAGACCCTACATAGTTGTTTCCTGCAGTTATTGATACAAGAAATACAATGATTAGGGTGAAATTGCTCAGAGCATGGTCCCTGTAGAGAAATAATGCTTCCTTCTGCAAAGCAGTAAAAAACAGAGCGCTTATGACCAAAATCTTCCAAAAGTATTTTTTCCCAAATTGTTGTTATAAGAATAGAAATGGAGAAATTGCAGGTGTCTGAAATTTTGTGAGTTGCGTGTTTAAGTGGAAACCACTGAGTCAACTGATCACGAGGATACCCTTGGTTTCTGAATTGAAAAATTATTGAAGGAGATATGACAAAATGATCTAGTCTGGTAAAATACATATGCTTCAATGGGAAATGCGACCAGATGCCGTCATTATGCAGTGCATTTTCTCACTTTTAAATCTATTTTTATATTGTTTTTCACGACAGAAAAAAATTACAAGAAATACTGCAAAATCAGCTCTTTAAACTTTCTTCGATGAAGCAAATAAACATTTGTGAGCAAATTCTTGATAAAGAAAATAACAGTGAACTCAATTCACTTAATAATTTCGAATAATGCAATGTGCCAATCGGCAGAGCAAAATGTAAAACATTACGTAAGAGCCCCTCAGGTTGGAACAATGAAGTTTAAAATCTAATAATGAGATGAAATCATACCCGGACACAAGCAGATGTATGAGCAGAACCCAAATGATTTGTGGCACGCACAGTGTATTCTCCTGAGTCGATGGCAGTGACATGAATGATATCCAGAGCAACATAACCGAAGTCATGATATGTTCTAAATCTTGATCCTATTACAAGAAAAAGCAGAGACTTGGTGCTTAAAAGTTTCAAAAATTTAAACAAAGAAATCATTGAAAAGGCATCTCTCAAATCGAAAACATAAAGGTATACCGATGCTTACAACCTGAATGCAGAAAAAATAAAAAACCAATATATTAGATGGATGCTCCACAATTGTGCAACTGCTTTCCACTGATTTGATTTCAGGATAGTAATTTGGCAGACTTATGCTATTTCGGTTCAATTGGTACATTCCATAGATTCAGCTTAAGTTCAAATTTTTAGAGAGATTTAAAATTTTGTAAGATATGATTACAGTTGAGAAAAGAATTGTTGGTTAACCATGCAGTTGTTTATAATTCGCAAAAAAATTGCTAGAAAAGACAAAAATTTTATTCACTAATTGTTTAAAAGTAAAATTGAACTGCCACAAAGAGCTTATGGACTATGAAGCAAACATAAAGAGCACTTACCAATCGTAATGGGTTTCCCATTTTGGAACCACTCAACTCTCATTGTTGGATCACCCATTGGCTCTAGGCGGCATTCAAGATGAATATTCTTTCCTTCGCTGACAGGAGGAGGATCGCTCAGTGGCTGGACAAATATTGGTTTGGATTTTGATATTTCTTCAATCTGGTAATGCGGTTCGACAAACTTTGAGCTTTCCAAGTGCTTCGTTTTCTCATAGGTGCCATGATGCATACTAGATGTATCAATACTTGCACGAGTTTCCACCTTTATACAAAAGTATCAAGTGTTAATTGGTTCAATTCAATTTTTACATCAACACTGAGTAAGTTGCTTATAATAGGTTTCACCTGAGACCTCTAATCCTGGAAAAACAACACGGCCTCAAAATATGAATCGAAGATGGGCATTATTTTTTTTTGATGAATTTCTGATGAGATTAATCCTTTGTAATATCGATACCAAATAGCTATAGCAAGGGCAGAGAAGCCGGGAAAAGCAAGAAGCTGTAAAGTCTCAGCGGAGGTTGAATGAGAGTTGGACGTATTCATACTTAGAGGGATTAAAGGCATAGGGTTTTTGTGCAAAATAGTTCCTTTTAGCACGAATACGTCCAATTCTGTATTAGGAGGGCGAGGGGTGCAGGTGAGAGCATGACAAAGGGGGAAGGGAGGAGGCAACTCCGCGTAAGTACCAGGAAGGATGGAGGGTGCGCTGATCTGTGGAAGTGACAGAGCACTGTTATGTGTTACACTCATAATTTTATAACCTACAGTGAGATTGATTCTTATGACTTAATCTTGTCAATTTTGAAAAACCGTTGCTACCTAAAGCACTGTTCATCATCAGTTTTCATAACTGATGAAAAATAGAAAAAAAAGAAACAAAGAAAAAAATTGGTTGCTTCTTGCTCTCTAAGAACATTAAGAGTAAAAACTAACCTGCATTGATGCCGAGAGGTTGGCTTCTCCCAGAGCATTTCTTGCAACAATGGTATAAGTTCCAGCATCTTGTGGTCTGACGTCCAAGATATCTAGGGCAACATATCCGAAATCATGATACGTTTGAATACGGTTGGCAACCATTAACAACTTCCCATTGAAGTACCACTCGACAATCAATGATGTATCGCTCTGAGGCTCAACTCTTGCCTCAAAGTGCGCTTGTTGACCTTCTGCAATCTTTGTTGTGCCTTTGAGAGGGCCTAAGAAACGAGGTTTTTCTGTGACAATAACTTCTTGCTCCTCTCTGCGACCATAACGTGAGGAGTCCTCGAGGTATTGAATGCGTTCTAAGCCGCCTGGGTGATGCGATTCTGAGATAACATCTTTCTTGCTTTGAACGGTGAGCTTGGCAGAAGTGTGGGCTTCACCAAGCTGATTATAGGCACGACAAGTGTAGGTGCCGATGTCAAATGTTGTGACCTGTTTGATTGTGAGAGCAATGTAGCCAAAGTTAAAGAAGGTGGTGATCCGAGAGCCTGTGGACAGCAAAATTGAAACAGATATTAGTAATTTATGGTAAAATCTTGATTATCTGACCTAATTTTCCAAAATAAGGAACGTTCTGGCAAAAAGTGAGAGAAAGAGAGCAAGACGTATGGATTGAGAGAGCCTAGAATTTTGAGGCTCCTTACTCTTTAACGAACTTCCACAAACTTCATGTAAATTCTTTGTTAAGCAAAAAGCTTGAATTTGCTCCTCAGCAACTTATCATGTTCACTGTCATGCCCTATATAGTGAATGTTTTGCTGCTGATTGCACCAGGCCTAGGACGAGGAATCGAACTGAGAATAAACCAAATGCTGGTTAAAGATTAATAGCGGTCAACTCTTCATATGATGTTAATAAATCTGTTAGCCCAATATTTTTCTGTTTGAAACAGTATTGTATTTTTGAAGAATCATTTCCCTAACTGTACTTTGATTAAATGAGAAAAATTGAAGGGTAGGTGATCTCATTTTTCACATCCTTTCCAAAAGAATTAAAAATAACCTGCAAAAGTCCCTTTATAAATTACTTCAAGATGAGATCTGTACATTATTGAAAGTATATTTAACACATCTGTGAATGTAGTTATTGGGTAGTATAAAAGCAACTTATGTGTTTATATGAAAAAAAAAAGAGACACATACTTGCTTCGACTGGTCGACCATCTTTAAGCCACTCAACACGTAACGTCGAGTCACCAAGAGGTTCTAGTCTAGCTTCAAAATGTGCGAAACCACCCTCTCGGATGTCCAACTGATCTTTGATTGGCGATTTAAAGACAGGTGGACTGATACTCTCGGGTGGTTCTGCCACCATTTTCTGAACGTGTCTTTGTTGTTCCAACGCTTCAGTTTCATGGATGTAGCGTTGCTGCTCCGGGATACCGAGATCCCCTGTGACACTGCTACGAGCTAATGATCATTAAGAAAAATTATTAGGAAATCATTAAGGAAAATTATTAGGTAGAGGAAACATAATAGAATTCTGAAGATAAAACAAAGATTAAACTATCGTAATTTGGTTAAATTTTAAGATTTATGCTTCATTTACAAGTGGATCAGAGTAATGCTACAAAAATATGCTGACCATTTTACAATAACAAAACAATACAAGAATTATTAAATCTATAATTGTCAAAAAAGTGTAGAGGACCTAGGTAGTTATAATAATAAAATTGTTGTAACTATATTCTTTTAGCACATCTAAAGAAGCTGATGAGGACTTAGGGAAGCAATGTATTAAATCCAGTGACAAATATAGAGTAAAATATTTTCATCATAATCAAGTACAAGATAAAAATCGATCTATTAAGAAATAAATGCACACAATAAAAACAATAAAATGGTAAAAATGCAATTATTGGTAGAGTGAAATTGATCCATGATGATTCTATAGTACATTTTTCTTTTTAAAACAACTTGACACAGAAAACTTACCGAACACCTTCAAATTGGAGGTTGATGTAATTTCTCCCCAACGGTTAATGGCTCGGACGGTGTACACTCCAGTGTCTTCTACTCGGAGATGCAAGATGTTCAACGATATGTAACCAAAGTTGAAAATAGTCGTGATCCTGGAACCTGCGGGCATAATTAATCATTAGTTTGGAGGAGGGAAAAATTAAAAAAGGGAGGTTAATGGAATAAGCAAACTGTATAAAACAGACTGAGAATAAAAACTGATGATTCATGTGCGCAGGAAAAGTAGGTATTGATAACAATTTTCAAACGAATGGTTTCACTGCATGCAACATTGCACGGCTAAAATGCTGTAACAATGTTGCTGCACTAAATTTTAGGGCCTAACTTAACTATGAATCATATTAAGTTTAACTAAAGAGGGAAAAATTGGAATTTTTGGAATCTTTAGAAAAGGATATTCAATTTTTTAATAAATTCATAAGTCATAAAAATAGCTTACTGGCAGTGATAGGTTTCCCATCCTTGTACCACTCGATTTTCATTGTAGGATCGCTGACAGGAGTGATTTGAGCCTCAAAGTGAGCATTGCGTCCTTCTTGCAGCTCGCCTAAGTGGTGCAAGGGTCGAATGAATGCTGGCTTCTGCGCTGTAATTTCCTCTTGACTTTCTTGCCGTTGATAGCGAGAGTAATCCTCTAGCTGCTGGATGTATTGTAAACTGTCAGGGTATTGACTGCTCCGTTCGATCTCTGCACGACCTGGAGGAAATAGAGAAAATGTTGATATTCTTCCGAAAAGTATAAGTATGCATCATTAAAATTGAATTACACTTCATTGTCACGGAACAATAATCCAGTTGTTCAGGCGACTTTATTTTCATCTCGATGTTGCTTTCTGTAGGATATTCAGAAAATTGGTGACTTCGATAAGTGTATCTCTACTGTCAATCCAAGCACTTTATTTCACTCTTAAGATTTTCTCCAGGCTCAGAACCCTTCTTTTCTTAATAACAGACATTCCTTCATAAACTTGTCACAGAAAATTACCTGTGACTGATAGCATGGCACTTGAGTCAACACCTCCGGATGCGCTGGTCACACGGCACGTGTATTCTCCACTATCTTGTATGATAACGCTTAGAATGTCCAATGACACAAAGCCGTAATTGAACATGGAATTTACTCTCGAGCCTGAAAAACCGAATAAAAATTGATAGATTAGACACACATTGCAATGTTTAAGCATGGGAAAATAAAAAATAAATGAATATAACTATTTCCTTTGGATCTTTGCCTCTTATAAAGCTATTCCACTATGGCGAAAACTGGCACCTATCTCTTGAAGTATACTGTGCCTTATACATGGTCTCTCTACCTGCTTTCTTGAATGTTACAACTAAGGTTAATTAGTACAGAAAGTTCCAGCCTTCTAAAATTCCCGCCTGTCTAGTAGTTTTCCACATTTTCCCTGGAATTTTAAATGTGACTTTCTTATTTATTCATCATTGATTTTTTTGCTTATTAGGTATTTAATTCAATTCGATAGTAAATATTTTGCAACTCTGGGCAATTTACAGTACTGTGACTGTCCGCAAGAATGTATTAGGTACTATCGCAAATCTCTACGCTTACCAAGATAAGAAAAGAGGCAGAACTTTCAACAATTTTCCCCCCTTTCCATACTTTTGAAGCCTTTCCATAATTCCATGCACCTGTTTTAGCGCTGGATGAGCATTCCCACATTTTCCACATCCCTGAGTATAAGACTGAACTTACTTGCGGGAAGTGGGTGTCCATTAAGGAACCATTCAACTTTCATTGATGGGTCCCCAACAGGTTCGATTCTGGCTTCAAAGTGTACACGGCCACCTTCATTTTGGGCTTGATCTGACAGAGGAATTATAAAATGAGGAGGAGGATAGTAGCGGTCTTCATCTGGATGCGGTGCGTGGGGCTTGGCTCTTTCCACGTGTCGCAAATAAATAATTTCTGGACCTGGTGCTGGTCTGTAAGAAATTGTAAACAAATCATCATAAGAGACATGATGGAAAAACTACGCGACTGCTTTTCTCTAATAATTTGATCAAAATTTTAGTTTGAAAGAGCGGGTCAATACAAAAAAAATGTTTTTTGCAGGGCAGTTGTTGAAAATTAAACCAATGTAAATATTTTTACATGCTAATAGTATTTTAGAAAAAAAAAGACTTCAATAAGCTCGTGGTATTTATTGAATTTCTGAAAGGTGTACAACACATAATTTAATGAGCTTAAAATGGACTTTTTGATGACGTCTACATTTGATAGTTAATATAAAATATTTCAATTTGAACGACTGAGGACCTCAGTGTTGATCCAAATGAAGAGGAGATAGCTTAAAAGCCTTCTACAATCTTTATTGCATTAGGCTTATTGTACTTAAAAATGAGTACTTCAAGCTAAACAAAAATGAAACTATGGTAAAAGAGAATTATTAAAAAGGCATTTCCAACTTTTCAGTCTCATTTATACATTTCACACTGATTCACTTTTTCGTCCAAGCTGACATAATTTTCAAAATATATGATATATGAGTGTACTGAGAAATGAACGGCTGAGTCTCATATTTTTATGCTTCCTTCAATCTGTGTGATTTGCTTCCTTGGTTTGCTATATTTTAAAGGCCAAGAGATGAAATACTTACTCAGGTTCTATTACTCTAGTTGGTCTGGGCAGATTCAGTCTCCTGGGTTGATCGTCCTCGTGAACATGAGGCCTTTCAACAAACAGCCGCGCCCGAGTGGCTGTGGAACCAGCAACATTTTGAGCAGTGCACTGATACCACCCAGAGTCACTAAGCTGCGCGCGAGAGATGTCTAAAACAGATGCACCACCATCTGTAGTCACACTGATGGTTGGTCCTGATGAAATTGGCACACCGTCCTAGCAAACAAAACGATAAAATTCCATTGATTATTTAGATTTAAAACACAAAAAATAAGTGTCGGGTGAGGAGGACAGCATTACTTGGTCTTTAATATACTGTTCATGCTCTATCAACTTTAATCATAAAATCATTATAAATACAATGAACTTAACTTTTAGTGAACAAATAAAAAAAAACACAAATATTATTTTCCTTACTTTTATTCTCAAATATACCGAATAATTCACTTTTTAGATAAATTATGTATTGCTGGAAGCAAGATGTTGACTGAAACAACTATTAAAGCAATGTGAAACAGAGGGAATAAGATCAGTGATTTTGTAACCAGAATTTGATTTATGCTGATTCAAGGAAAAATGTAATTTCACTTACTATTACTTGGAGTCACTCTAATTTGCGTTTCATAAATAATTATTAATTTGACAACACATATCCTAGGAGTGGCAAAAATATAAAAAAAATTAAAAATAAATATAAAAGAATAAAACAGCTTTAGTTTTAATTTGAAAATAAAATAAAAACAGGCGATTTTCTTGCCATCAATCAGTGGATGCTGATAGCTTAGAATTATGAATAAAATGCTCCTTACTTTCTGCCATGAAATCCTTGGAATGGGAGTACCGACAGCTCTGGCCGTCAAGTTGACTGGTTCTCCTTCTTTGACATGCACAGAGCTGAATCTTTCTACAAATTTTGGTGCTATAACTAATTCTTTTTCAATAACATTAAGATTACACTGAAACAAAAAAAAAAAAAAAGTACAAATGATAACCATATTAAATCTTGAAAATAAACTCAACATCACCACATATCATAATTAAGTTGTTCAAAGGGAAAGTGGAAAAAATCTCTTGAATTATTTCTGAAGGTCTGAGGATAATTCATTTCCACAAGAAACCTAAGAATTGAGAAAATTTAAAAGAGGTGTGCAAAAATGTGAGATCGCAGGTCACATTAGGAAATGTACAGGCAATTATGAGAGTCAATAATCGCTCCTCCCACTAATGTTTGCAAGCACAAGCATACAAAGAAATATTGCAACCATGAACCCACATAGCAATTTTGCACTAAGATTTCACAACTAATATTCAGTGCGAAACTTGCAATCACAATCTGTAATTTTGAGCGAAAATACTCCAATTTTATTCACAACCTCTCGATTTACCTTTAGGGGCCTAAAAAAAGTCTTGCTTTTTTACCTAATTTTATTTTTTGTTTTTTTCCCCTTCATAAATGAATTGTCGACGTTAAACTTTCTATGAGGTTTCCGGACACAAACTAAAGAGAAGAAAGTGCAAGAGAGATACTGCTACGCTAAGGAAAAATGCTGTATGAACATTCAAGAGTTGCCACATTTCCTCCGATGGAATGTTTATGTTCAAGTAAATTTATGAATATTTTTTCTCGAAATTTTCAGATAATTTAGATCTGGAGAAATATTCACAGATTTCCCTGAAAATTCGACTTTTATTAAAAGAAATTTAGCGGCATCTGATGGCTCATACAGTTATCTTCCTAAGCTTTGCAGCATAAGAATGAAACACAAAAATAGCCCAAAGAATTTAACAAAACAAAAAACAATAAAATAGGAAATCAAGGCTAAAAACGAACAGAATTTGTTTTGAGGTGGTTTCAACTCCCTCTTTGACTATGAAACAAAAAAAAATAAAATAGCAGGATAGAGAACACTTACTTGGAACGAGGTTTCACCAGCTTTATTCCTTGCCACGCAAGTGACTACACCAGCGTCATTACGACTGACACTGGTGATCATAAGAGCATTATTTCCTGATTCATTGACTAGAACCTTATGAGTGGCATCATCACAGACCGGTCTGCCGTTGATGTACCAGGTAACATCTGGGGCTGGCTTTCCTGTCACTCGACAATCAAACCTGGTCATCTTTCCTTCCTGAACATCTCGATCTGGGCATACTTTCAAAAAGTTAGGTCCTAGCATCTTAACTTCATTACTATCGATCACAGACTCTACTTGTTCCACTTGGGACATTTTTCTGTAAAAAAGAGAGAGATTCACATTGATAGGATGCAATATTCAAGCAAATCATGTGACAAGATAAGTCTAGTCAGGTAAAGAAGTAAAGGAAAAGTCAGTCTAAAAATGTGACATGGTTTGATTTAGGATGATAACAGCTGCAATCGCTGGTTGTTCAACATACTTTAGCACAAATCAGGCAAAGATGAAAAGTCACTCTGATTTTTTTTAAGGCAATCTGAGTAGGTTTTGGTTCCATTTGTATCCCTTTTTAAAGGATTTTCAAACTTTTCTCCAAGCCAGGAGGCTGGAGGAAGTCCAGTTTGTTGAAGGAGAGAGGATTTTTTGAAGAAAAGAAAATGAGTCAACCTCTCCAGAAAAAAGAAAAAAATTTTGATTGCATAAATAAATCAGCCTTTCAAGCATGTTTTGAAAATTTTTTCTGCTTTTTCGTATCCTTAAACTACTTTGTTTTGCTACAAGAGCCATAAGAAAAAAAGTAAAGATGAGAAAATGTTGCATTTTTGTTATTCCTTATCTCCTTCCCTCGCAATTTTATTGGGTTTCCATCAGAATTTCGATTAATTTTCATTTCATTTTAATTGAACTAAAACATACTGAATATCGCGACTCAGTTTTTTTTTCTTCGAAGCTATGTACCTCAGACTGTTTTTAACACCAGAATAAATTAACCAATTTTATTGTTGGGCATACAATGAAGGAGAATGTAACCATACAGTTACTTACAAGCATTCTGGCTTTTTTTGTTATTGAATTTCATGGCAAAGGCGTGTCGCCCCCCCATATGGGGCTTCTTCAGCGCCAACATAGAAACTTACACTAAATCACTTAAAACACTAAAAAATTCACCATCTGTACAATTATTATTATGCTAGCAAAGTCAACGTTTGTTTATAATGGGAGAATATAACTTTTATAGACTAATAACTTAACTTCAACTTACTTTTCATAATAACTATCATGAATTGCGGCAGGCTCCACAGCCAGGTAGGCTGAGGAGACAATACATCCTTGAGGATTTTCAGCGAGTAATGTATAGTGTCCAGAATCCTCTGCGGTAATTTTTGTAATTTTCAGAGTAGCTTGTTGATTTGAAAAATTCATTTGTACTCTCTGAGATGGTAAAATGCGCTGTCCGTTTTTGAACCATGTTAACTGCAAAAAGAAATTCAGTCTTTTAATTCATCACCAAAAGCTTCCTATCAAAGTATTCACACACAGTGATGGGGGGGGGGGGCATGCAAGGAAAATATTGATAAATCATATGTACATTTTCTTTAACTTTGCATCCTGTTAATTTTGATTTTAAACAATTTGTTTCAATTTTAGAGGACTCTGAATAATGAGAGAGGAACCCAAATTTTGAAAGAAGTGTTCACTAAAGTCAGGTTTCCTATATTTACTCACTAGTTTGATTGACAATTTAAACAAATTTTATTACAAAGTATGATCTTGCTTGATGAAGAAAAATAAACTATCACTGATAGTTAATTTTTCTAACACCAGAATAAAATCCACGCAAGAGCAAAAATATTTTCAAAATTTGACACGGTCTCATTCCATTTACTTCAATTATTGGTGATTTTCAGAGATCAATGGGCAAAATACTGAATGTGAAAGATTTGAGGAAGTCTTAACATAAATGAGTTAGATGTACGAGAAAAAGGCATTATTCGACATCCAGCAAAGTATTTTTGGCTTGGCCTTGATCCAATTCCATTATGCAACCTCAAGCATTGCTTCCAAAGCATATATACATGCATAGAAACTTTAAATCTGCAGTTTTAAAGTTTCATATGATACTGATATACACAAATTAGCTGCCATCAAAATTGAGGTAAATCATTCAAATGGTTTTTTACATTTTCTTTAAGTATTTATTTATTTAAATTTTTGTTTGACTGCATTCAAGAGGAGTCTTATTCTGGAGCTTAAAAGGAGAAAAGAAATCTGTCTTCCATACACTGATGTTACCAGGTAAAATACCGACTACATTTTACTGGGCCAGAATTTTTCAGGTTCAACAAGTGGCTTGAACTTTTACGTTCATGATTGTTATCTTTGTTCCTAGTCCAAATCAATTTTAAACTTGTTGCATCAGCACCTATATTTTTTGAGACTAACATAGAAAAGGAAAAACCCAGAAAACACAGGAGACTTAGCAACAGCTTCATAAAAGCAAGGGGACAGTCAACAGGTTACCTTGCACGTTCTCTTCTTCCCTGCTGGACTTGGGTTATTTTTTGTGGGAAAAAACCAAAGGAAAAAAAAACACTGAAAGGAGAGGTAATTAATTATTTCAATGAGTGTCAATGGCAGCTACAAGGTGAATAAGATACTTTAGAGGGGTCTTGGGTTACACTTACTCTAGGTTGAGGGTTGGCAGATATTTTAGTAATAAATGTGGCATCAGAGCCTTCGACTAATTTTGAGTTCCTTGGTTTCTGAGATATCCGCGGCGCAGTGATTGGTCCAGGTGATGGTGTAGTTGTTAATTGCGCATCAGTTTCATTGATATAGCGACGCGTGATGGACTCTCGGAATGAGACTTCGCGCAAAATGCGATATTCGAATGTGTCAACTTTGAAGTCCTGTAAGTAAATACAAAATAGTAAGAATAAATATAACTCAAAATTTACTCAGGAAACAAGGAGTTTCTAAAATTTTCTTGGGAGGATATGCAGGAATAAGTGCGAATTGAAATCTGGATGGAGTGAGGAGAAGTTGTGTTTTTAAGACAGGAGGAAGACTGAGACTCGATCATAAAACTAAATTTCCAAATGGATATCAATGGTTAGGGTACAAAACTCCATAGGTACCTCCATTATAGTGTTTCAATATCTCTGCTCCAAGTTTATTTTTTTGGAAAGAAACAAGCCAACTATATAACTTGAAATTTCTACAGAATATTCTGCTAACAAAGAGGAAAATTCAAGGAAATCTTTAAGAAATTATGCTAGCTAGTTTTGCCAAGAAAAGAAAAGTATGAAAGGAAGTCTGCAGCGTTGCAACCAGAGATAGGTGGTTTTCCACTTTGGGTATCCATATAAAGGTACCTTACGGGATTTAAACTATATGTAAACTGTATCATGAGCTTAATATTACACTCAATTATATAAAATCATAAGGATAGCAGGTCTTGCTAACCATGTCACTATTTTTTTTTTTTAATTTTTTATTTTTATTTTTTATACTCACTTCTTCTACAACCGTATGACCATTGGAATAAATATTTTCAGCCCTATGATTTGTAAATTGAGGTTGCGGCATCTGTTGCAGTTGGCCTGGAAAATTTGAGAGAAAAAACGATACTAATTAGTTTTATTTTTAATATTATTTTCTTTAAGTAAATGAAAATAGTTTGTTCACTGTTATATAAATAATTTCCATGTTACTCCTAACTGAATGACTTGCTTCAAAAACAGACAAACTTGAGATCTGTTCAGATTCAAATTTTCAAACTTTTGATTTAGGTTTTTATCTTCCAAAAAAAAATATTCATTCCTAACTGCTGCTTAGATTTTTTAAATTGACTTATTCAGATAAAAGACTCATGCCGGACATTTGACTCAATTGTCTTTCATTTCCTGGGAATTTTCAAAATTCCGAGTTAGGCGCTTTTCAGAGCAAGGCATTCGTGTTGCTTCTGTAACACTAAAGACATTTACGTTGCACTTGTTTTTCTTTCTATTTTTGAATTAACGTACCTACGACATCAAGTTACATGAATCTTTTTCAACACATTAAACACTCAAACTCTCCCCCTAAAAAAAAAAAAAAAAAAAAAAAAAAAAAAAATTCTAGGAGAGCAACGTTGTTTGATTTTCAAAAATGACAGCCTACTGAACTACCATAAATTTCTCCTCATCAGTCTACCATGGAGATCAAAATTGTAGGAATAAAAAGTTAGGTAAATAAACCTGGAAGCAATCATACATTATGAGTTGAAAAATTGTTCCTTCAGAAGGCAAAGCGTCAACCTTTACAGATCCTATCAAAGTAAAAAACCCTATCATTATCATGCTCTTATCTACATCTGGCTCCACACAATACAAGAACGACCGAATTTCACAAAAACTTCAGCTGCGTTTGAAAAAAATACCCATTATAAGGTAGTGAAGGTTGCGATGCTCAAGGCTTCATTTTCAGACTTGATTCTACATTTATCAAGCACAGATAAACAGGCAAATCAACATGAAAGCAAACTGTAGGGCCTGCTTGTTGTCGAAGCACAGACAAGAACTAAAGTGAAGTATAAAAATTACCTTCTGGTTGGATGAACACAGCACAAATGGCTTCTCCATACTGGTTTCTTGCTGAGCAAACGTACTCCCCTTCATCGCCGGGACCCACTTTGCGGATGAGTAGAGAAACATTCCCTGTTTGTTGCTCATACCTCATCTGGTACTTATGGGAATCTAAAATAAGGCAATTAATTTTAAGTGGACTGCAATTTAATGGTTACGAAGTGTCAATGAGGTACCAACAAGGGACTCTGGTTTGAGATGATGATAATAAATAAGGCTTATTAATTGAAGACAAAGAACATTGCAATATCCGTAAATTTCAGATGAAACATACTTTCTTCTGAAAAAAGAGATAAAATTTCGCGTACTCTTTGACAATTTTTTGGGACAAGTTTTGGGGTCGAGATGGCCTCATCATCAGCCAGCAGCGAACTGCAAACGGTTGGCAGCGCATTTCTCAACCCCAAAACACGTCCAAAAATAATTTTAAATAGCGCAAGTGAGTACGCAAAATGTTATCTCTTTTTTACAATATTGTCTTGTGACTGTCCCCTGCAAAAGTTTCTATACTTTTTTTCTTCCAGGGCGAATACCTACAAGTCTTAATATAAAAATCATTGAGAATTTTCTTTGTTAAGTTGGTGGAAAGTATCAGATGTTTGAAAAAGTTAGGTAAATGAATGTTTCTGAGAGACGGAATCATACACTGTCTTCCCCAAATGTTGGCACACCTGAATAATGGTCAGTAATACTACCCTGCAGAGAGCCGTCTGTTCTTGAGGAAAATAACTCCTGCATGTTTCAATCTATAATAGACGCAGTCTAGATGTGTGTGGCAAAGAAAAGTCTATTGCTCATTACCTTTCCGGGTGTTCTAATGGTATGGTAACATTAAAGCTAAAGTGTATACATTCCCCGAACAGCATTAAAAAAGAATACCACCATTTGAGCTTACACTACTTTTGCAACAAAAAGATTAGCAACAGGGAGGAGAATATTCCAATTACTCTAAAGTTTCAATGCTCAAGAGGTAAAGGAAGAAACGATGGTACTAGCAATTTTCGGTTCAATTCTTGCAAGAAAGTCATCAGATCAGCTAGGCATGAAATAAACATTAGAAGCTGATCTGCGGGCAGCTAACACTAGTGCATTAACGATGAAAATATACATAGTAAATTTGAGGGAGAAAAAAATCCAAGTTATGACAATACTTACCGACAAGAGGAACACCTTTCCTGGTCCAAGAAACAACCGGTTTAGGAACACCAGAGACTTTTCCTTCAAATAATGCATCTCCTCCCTGAGCAAATCTGGCATTACGAAAAATTTGATCGAATACTGGTGGAGAGGCATTGTTGGGTCTGAAATCAGAATAGGCAAAGTAAATACGTGATGTATCAAAAAAGCGTGTTCAAATGTCTCCCAGATATAATGCAAGGAAGAGTCAACTAACAATGCAAATGTGACAAATCAGTCAGCTTAAGATTTAAGTTACCTTCTATTATTAAAAATACACCCATGTACATACATAGCAGTTCTAGCAAAATTTGAGTACCTAAAGGCAAAATGATTATTTCATTGTAATACACAAGTTCCAGAAGAGACACTATTGATGGCTAAAATGCAGGACCAGACGTATCTCAGTTTGCGACATTGAAGACTTCCATTACGTACTTTCTTTTTTCCTTGGAAAACTTGTCTTCATAAATTCTTGAAAAATTCCTTGAGTTTTCTTCTCTGTTAAAAGAGTATCCTGAATAAATTTCAAGCTATAAAGTTGATTTGTTCCACTTCGAAAAAATAAACTGGGAACAGAGATTCTGAAAGACCACAATGGAGGTACCAGGTATCTCACTTAAGCCATCATTCTTGAATAATCCATCAACTCGTACTTGATTATTCAAACCTCTATTTCCAGCCATCAACCTGCAGCCTGATTGTTGAAATTTTTTGTTTGTCGCGACGACATAGATGACATAGGTTAAAAGGCGGAGCGTGATTGGTCGGCTATGTCTTATCACTGCTTTGTCGTGCCTATGTCAGGTTGAACTCACGACAAGCTAACGGCACCTCATAAGTTTCCGACAGTATGTTGTCCATTCTTCCTGACAAAGGCACGACAAAGCAGCAATAAGACATAGCCGACGAATCACGCTCCGCCTTTCAACCTATGTCATCTATGTCGTCCTGACAAACAAAAGATTTCAACAATCAGGCTGCTGATCTCTTCTACTTGTAACTGCACATAAAAGCATGCAGTTTCAATTCATTTCTGAGTTGGACCAAAACAAATTTAAAACAGATGATGAGGGTAGAGATAATTATTTGACGATAGGTGTGTTGACAGCATAAGTCCGCAATCACATATCTCGTTTGCGGTGTCTGAAAAAAATCTCCGCCTCTATGTTATCTTTTTAAAGGAGAAAAAATTAACATCATTCCTAGAAGTTTTTGCAGAATTTTCTTCGCACAGAGCAGAAAAATCATGACAGTTTTAAGAATTGCCATTGAATAGTTATGCACTTAAAAAATAATGTAGGTATGACTGGAAGTCTGCGACATCACACCGAGATACGTGGTTGCAGATATGAGCTGTTGAAATCTTAGAAAACACCAGAAAAATGACCCCTTGGTCAAGTAAACTTGTACGAATGTACAAGGTAAGGTAATAATTAAGTAGGTAATAGGTATGTGGAGGAACACTTGACAGGACTGGTCCGGTCTGGAATGTAAGGCGATTAGAATGCAACAAGAGATTAACAAGCATTAATGATGTTTGAGACATGAATAGATACCTTCAAATCTCGGTTTGCACGAAATATAGTGGTGCTTGGCTTGCGAAAATTTCGGAAGAAACATAATTAGAGTGGAGAAATGCTCTGAGATGAATAAGTCCAACAAGTCGGCGTGATGATAAACTTGAAAAGATGTTGTTGTTGTTTTTATTGTTATGATTTTAGGTTGGGAAGAAGAAGAAGACACAAACGACGTGAGAAAAATTTGCAAGGAGGGCCAACATATGCGGAAAAAAGCGAACATTTAGAATAAACTTTTACAGTTCTGAAAGTTTCGAAAATATTTTGATGCCGCAATATTTCTTTATTACTTTTTGAAGATGCGCAGAAGAACGTTAAAACACAATTTTCAGCACGCTTATAAATTGAAAGAAGCGGATGAAGTAGTGGCTTCCTTCTTCTATTGGTGGCAAACATGTAAACTTTACGATCCGTTAAGTCTGGTTAAGTCTGAAGCGCCAAATTTGAAAATCGGCGGGAAGTTTCAATTTGACGGGCGATGGGTCACTGTGCCGCAATCTACAAGGTGGCCCTAAAGTGACTGAAAAGTGCCTATAACCTTTTGACAAATAGAGATAGAGAGTCCTAGTTTGAACCATTGCTCATTGTGACAAGAAGCTGATTTTTTAAAAGGGCTGAATTTTGAATCCCCTCATCGAGCGCGCGCAGGGGGGGGACTTGAAATTTTAATGGGGCTTTTTTAATTTGAATGGGGCTTGAAAAATAGAGATAGAGAGTCCTCGTTTGAACCATTGCTCATTGTGATAAGAAGCTGCTTTTTTAAAAGGGCTGAATTTTGTGTCCCCTCATCGAGCGCGCGCAGGGGGGGGGGGGGGGAGCTTGAAATTTTGAAACGACAGCCCCCCTTGTGTGATATATCGTTGAAAAGAGGACACAAAAAGAAGAATGTTCGCGCTAATCAAAGATCAATCCAGCTGATTTGATTGTCTCATTGGGCCCTGAGAGCTACATCCCCTAACCTCAAAATTACCGACATGTTCGTAGTATCCCTTTGTGGGTACTCTAGTGTGCATACAAATTAATTTCAACGGGAAACTAGGGATATCCTCGCATTTCTCCGTTCATTGCTGTCCGATTGATGGCGTCGTCGTGTGCGATGCGGAGTGTCAACTACCCGTGACGCCGTTTATCTTGCCGCTTGCGGTTCCACGCCCGTCAGAAATTTGGCGCCTAATCGGAGATGCAAGTGCAACTGTTTTGGCACCTGAGGCGAGTTCGGCCGGAGCCGCAAGGCCAGCAAAAACTCACGCAGAACTAACAACTGCTCGTGTTTACTTGGGCGAACTGTCTCGGCCCGGCCGTGACGTCTGCAGGAATTTTGCATAGAGTACATAGAGTCGTAATGTAAATGGGAGAGCTGGCGCCATGTTCTGCTCGACGAATTCCGAGCCCGGTGTGCGCCGAGTTCGGGTCGCTTTTTCGATACATTTTAGATCCGAAATGGCGGTGTGGAATACGTGGTAATTCCTATCTCCTTTGTTGTTGTTGTCATCGGATGGCCGGGTACCCGTGTATCGCAAACAATCGATTATGTATCGAAAAAGTGACCCGGCGTCACACAGGAGTCTCGGAATTCGGGACATGGAAAACGCTTAAAAGTGGCGGCAGCTCTCCCACTTACATTACGACTCTGTGTACTCTATGGAATTTTGCATCGATGCAGATGTCCCCGGCGCACAGTGGATCGAGTCAATCAGAGAGGTCGGACATGACATTTTTGACTAAAACTGCAAATCTTGATGTTTATTTCGTCACATTTGAAATTTCAAGGGGTGCCTCTGAAAGGAAATTGTACGAGGAAACCAATGGAGCCACTTTTAGAACCTCAAAGTTTTGGATAAACGGAGTTATGAGTGTTTAAAGTTTCAAAATTTTGTCCGACCTCTCCTATTGACTCGATCTACTGTGCGTCGTCGTCTTCGGAAAGGAGGTTGGAGCGTCGCGCCTGCAGACGACGCGTCGGCCACAGAAAACATTCAATGCGCATTTTTTTGTCACGGACATTACATTTTGGCACTTTCGAGTGCCATTAAGTCTTTAATATTCGGAATAAAAAATGTGAATGAATCCTTAGACCCACGTGAGGACGCTCGCTGCTCGATGCCCCGATCCGTGGATCGTAGTTAGACGGTGTCCAGTGTACACCTCAAAAGCACAGTGTACTTTTCGGTACACGCAGTATAGGCAATTTGCACAACGGAACGCACTATAACGGTGTAGCGTTTGAAGTATATCTACGATGTTGAAGGCGTTTTATATGGTACGCACGGGCGGGCGCGCCTTTTATTACCAACAATAAGTCGAACTTGCGGCGCCGGTTAATGAAAATTATTACTAGAAATGCATCCTTTTTGCTAAAAACTCTGCGTGTGCTTTGATTTGTGTTAATATGTGTAAATTACTACTCGCACATTGGTTTTTGTGTAACGATTGCAGCTGCGCTAAAAAAACTGTTGATAGTAAGTGGACTGTGCGTATTTTTTGGGTTGAAGTTACTTTGGCCGTGCAGAATTTTTGGTCAAAATTAACTCGATTACGGAAATCTTTCTTCCCTCTAGGTGAAGGCAATGACCTCGACTCGGATTTCCGAAATCTGGAGGTAAAATGTTACACGGAAAAAAATGGATTGCTGATTTAACAACTTTGTAGTTCAAAAAAGTTTTCGACATGTTTCAATGTAGATTTTACGATGAAAAAATTCCAATTTAAACACGTCCGTGTTTAAATCAGCTTCCCACAATTGTAAAGTGTACATTTGAAACATGTCGGACATATTTTTCAACAATTTAATGGTTAATCAGCAATCCATTTTTTCCGTGTAACATTTTACCACTAGATTTTGAGAATCTGAGTCAACATCATTGCCTCCAGCCAGAGAGCCAACATGGAGACAATTTTTGATGTACGCCTTCATTCAAAAACCACACAATTTTCGGGAAAATCAATGACAAAAATATTTATAGATAACCAAGACATCTAATACGCAAAAAGACACACACCTCCTTGTTTTCTACATGGTGCAAGACTTTTTGGTGACCAATACCATGAGAAAATTTCGGCCAGGACTTCGCTTTCCAGGGATGAAAGGTGTTCGCGACGGTGTGGGAGAAAAAATTCGCGAGGAATCTGGGTCGCAGCCAATTTGTTTTGACGGCTGCGGGACGGAAGAGCAGCGCAAAACACACATTTTTCACCCGAGATGAGGGGTTAAAAATAACCGAGACCCGATACTTTCTCGACTCCGCGACATTTTTAATTATTCGGGTTTTGTAATAAGTTCCAGAGTGCGTAATTCGGTAGGGCAAAAAATTCTCCGCCGAGAAACTCAGGATGAGCCGGGCCATGCAAATCGACGCATAATAAAATCAAAATTGGACGTATTTCTGTCAAACAGAACTAGGCGCCAATTTGAGTTCCTTTTGAGGAATTTAGAATGCCGGATGCGCGTTCTGTCAAACGGAACTAAGCGCCATGGAAAAACATTGCGATTATAGGACAGAATGAGCCCGCGACGCCCGATTCCGCCGCCAATCCAAGCCCCCCTCTACCTTCCTCCCCCTATGGCGCTTAGTTCCGTTTGATAGAAATACATCCAATTGATAGAGAAAAAAAAAGGGTCAAGTTTTAAACTGTTTAGAAAAATAAATAGACTGATTTAGTGACTAAGTAATTCAAGAGTTCGTACCGAACTCTTGGTTCAAACCAAAACAAACTAACGTAACCTCATGTATGCATTCTCTGTGAGTTATTGCGTTAATTTATTAGAATTAAGTTATTGATTGGTCATAGATCAATTAAAGACTCATTAAACACGAGAAATTTTGACTGTAAGAAACACTTGGACGCACTTTAGTGCCATGGAGCAAAAGGCGCGAATAAGTGACAGGGTTCTGTGTTTGTTTACATTTGAACCAGGGGTTCGATATTAGGTATATCGACTGACGTAGCCCCTATAAATCAGTCTATTGGAGAATGGGACTTGGAAAATCGGATGGTCTAAAAGAGTGACTGGCAGATCTTAATTTTATGGCTGATGAATTGATTGAATGTCTCGGTCAATTAAGAGAGACCGTCCACAAAGAAAGAAAAACGAAAATATTTGTAAAACATCTCATCTCTAGACAATGGACCTCACGTACAAAAGTTTTTTCACAAGAGAGCGACTTTTCTTGATAGGTTTGGCCAAAGGTCACTTTTCCATGAGTTTCATTCTTAAAGGAGCTTTCGCTCACGACTAACAGGTTCGAGTCTGTATAAAGAAGCCTCATCTTCCGAGAAAAAATTATTCTTAACTTTCTTCAAATGCATCAAGGATGAAAATCTGGAAATGTTGACGTGACTTTGACCCCGAAAGCTCAAAATGTGAACGCGGTATGAGTTCTGGGGTTCCAAGAAAAGATTTTTAGATACGGCTCTAGAGAAATGTGATTTGAGCTTTTGCAAAAAAATAAGGAATTTATCCCGGAAGATAAGGTCCTTCTTCACAGATTCGATCATATACGCTTTTCGAACTTCAAAGAACCGTTTTGTCTCCGGTTTGGCTCGACATTTTAGAGTGGTTTTGTGAGGAAATTATCATACGACACTCCTATATTAACCTCGGTGCACATTTTTCTAATTCTAGTTTTTTGCACTTGAAGACGGCTTGTCGGGGACGATCACGATAAAAAGAAAAACAACCCTTTTTTGAGAATATTCGTCTTTAAAAGAATATAATATCGCTCTATACTCTTTTAGTTCAGATTCTCAGCTACCATGCAAACTCTTCATCCACACATACAGGGTGACCGAAAAGTCCCCGACCCCCCCCCTCTAACTTTTGAACGAATTGAGCTAGGGAAATGAAACTTTGGGGATGTTCCTATCTCAAAGGGGACCATCTTTTGGGGGGGTCAAAATGTTGGTCTCCCCCTCAGGGGGGGACGGGGGCCCCCCAACTTTTTTTTTTCAAATGGCAACCCCTATCTTGTGATACCTCATTCGAAAGAGCATAAAAAACTAAGAATTTTGGCGCAAACCGCAGATCAATATCTTAATTTTTGACCGAGTTATGATAGGTCAAAGGTCAACTTTTACCTATTTTCAAAAAATCATAACTCCGGTTCAAATTATCGTAAAGGAAAAAATAAAACGGGAAAATTTACCAAATTGTGTCCGCTTTTAAGTAAAAATTGCAAAAATCACTTGGATTTAATTTTAAGGGGGGGCTCGGACCCCCAAATACGTCAATTCAAAGGTCATTCAATTTTCCCGCGAAATAAGCCAATTTCCCCTGGATTTGCCTCCACATTATCTCAGTAAGGTCAAAATCAGTTCAACATTACGTTGGCAAGTCCCCAAATTTCGGGAAAAGTTAAAAAAAAATGATATTTAAGGTAATTAAATTTGACCGTTTAAATATCATTTTTTTTTAACTTTTCCCGAAAGGGGACTTGCCAACGTAATGTTGAACTGATTTTGACCTTACTGAGATAATGTGGAGGCAAATCCAGGGGAAATTGGCTTATTTCGCGGGAAAATTGAATGACCTTTGAATTGACGTATTTGGGGGTCCGAGCCCCCCCTTAAAATTAAATCCAAGTGATTTTTGCAATTTTTACTTAAAAGCGGACACAATTTGGTAAATTTTCCCGTTTTATTTTTTCCTTCACGATAATTTGAACCGGAGTTATGATTTTTTGAAAATAGGTCAAAGTTGACCTTTGACCTATCATAACTCGGTCAAAAATTAAGATATTGATCTGCGGTTTGCGCCAAAATTCTTAGTTTTTTATGCTCTTTCGAATGAGGTACCTATCACAAGATAGGGGTTGCCATTTGAAAAAAAAAGTTGGGGGGCCCCCGTCCCCCCCCCTGAGGGGGGGGACCAAAATTTTGACCCCACCAAAAGATGGTCCCCTTTGAGATAGGAACATCCCTAAAGTTTCATTTCCCTAGCTCAATTCGTTCAAAAGTTAGAGGGGGGGTCGGGGACTTTTCGCTCACCCTGTAGAGAGCAAATACATTAACAGGGTTGCCATTTTGTTTTGGGACTCCAAAGTTGGAACCACGGCAACCCTGCTAATGTATTTGCTTCCTATCTGTGCATGGAGAGTTTGACTAGATATAGAGATGGACTCTCGACGTAGCGTGGGATATCCCCTCCAATACGACCTGAACTTGGAGAGCTTTTTTTGAGCTTGAGAGTTGATTTCGGATACACCATCGTATTTCTCGTGAAGTTTCAAACAAGAAAACCCTCTTACATCGCAAATCTCTGACACATGCAAGAGCTCCATCTGAGAGCTTTCGTTGAGCTTGAGAGTTTATTTCGGAGAAAACCAGTGGCACCATTATGTCTCTCGCGAAATTTTACACAAATCAGCGTACACTTGAATTACAAATCCCTATCGTATACAAAAGCTTCATTCTACCAATTACTTGATCTTCCTCAAATTCGTCAGAATTCGCCTACATCAAACTCTTGCCATTTGACCAATTTGCATGCAACTCTAACAAATTTTATCAAAATATCGCGCATCCTCAATATTCACACGATTACAAAATTGATGATTTTCATTGAACTTTAAAAACTCGATTGAGTTTCCACTGAAATGGGCCTGTTGCATGCAAGAGATACAGCCGTGCGAATAGACTTTTTAGAGGTCTAATGACACGAAAATTACGATGGTCACATTAAACCAGTGGCGAGGCGTGAATGATCGATTATCGATTTTCCTCATACGATGAAGAATCGATTATTAAGACGTCCGTCACAAACACCATGTTCATCGATAATTTTCCATAGGTTTAAACGGCGAATCAATCGCAAAGCACTCCACGCCACTGACTTTGACTTATCTCAATTGCAAAGGAGGAAATTTGGCAACGTTCGTTTCTTCATACGGTTATCCAAAGTTATAAAAGTTATCAGCATTTTCGCAGTTAACGGCAACCGCGATGCCAGTGTCCAAAATTTAGGGAACGATATTCCTTCCCGTTGAAATGAGAAGGGAAGAGTGAGAGGGTGTAAGTTGGGCGGTCAATAAATAATAGGGACACCGATCGTGCAATAGTGTTTCTGGCAGGAAATCAAAATGAGGCGAGAAGATAATTAGTAGCACTTACGTGACAGGCTGTGGCTGTGTTTGTGAATGTTGACGGACCATGCCTTGAACTGGAACAAACAGACCAAAAACATCATTAGCAAAATTTGGCAGACTGTAAAAAGGAGTTATAAAACGACAGGCAAAAACACAATGGAGTGATGAAACCATAAACACTAATACTTCGCGAATATTTCTCCGGGTCGAAAATGGTCAACATTCAGGTTTTATGGGTCTTAATTCTGGATGCTTTGGGAGCCTTGGTTCCAAAGTTTAGAAACTTCGAGTTACGATGAAGGGGTTTTGATAAGTTGAATCCAATTAGGATGAGACTTTGAGGGTCCTGCTGATACCAGTGATAGATCAGTCACAGTATGGTGCTGAGGGCACCGCATGCAGGAGTCGCAAATATACGCCTATCGCGGTTTATGACGTCATCCATCGCGGTGGTGACGCCCTTGGTTTCTTCCACCTTGCCTTCATCTGGTTACTCTGCTTGAAACTCGGATGAAAGCAAGGTGGAAGAAACCAAGGCAAGGGTGTCACTACCGCGGTAGATGATATCATGAATTGAATTTTTCACAGCGCAATATCACTGTTATTATTGAACGTATAAAGTTGCTGTTTGATACAGATCTTATTGTTTAAATTTTAAGAAAAACTCACTTGCACGTTCTAAATACCGGTCGGACGCGTTTCGGTATCATCGCATCCGACCGGTGTAAAGAACGCGGGAATGAGTTTTTCTTAAAATTTAAATTATTAAGTTCTTGTGGGAACCCGAACATTAAAGTTAGATCTTATTGTAATTAGCTGAGCCACACGAATCAAGCATCAAAACACAATTCTGTGACCAACACAGCTGACCCATTGTATTGTGCTCTTAAAATGCGCAAGGAATAATTATAAGTTAACGCTGCATGAATAGAGAATTTGCAGAGGTCTGAAATTTGATGAATTTCGTGTTTAAGTGGATACTACTGATTGCGAGTGAACTGAACACGAGGATACCCTTGGTTCATGAATTGAAAACTTCTTGGAGAAGATAAGACAAAATGATCAAATCTGCTGAAATACTAGTGTTTAAAGGGGAAATAACGCCAGATGAAGTCACTAGGCGGCACTGTATTTTCTCACTTTTAAATCAATTTTTACACTATTACCCATATCAGAAAAAATTATATAAAAAAAAAAAAAACTGTGAAATCAGTTCTTCGAACACTTTCAGATGAAGCAGTATAAAATCTGCATGCAACTTCTGCATTCAAGATTCATAACAATGAAAAAAAAAAAAAAAAAAAAAAAAAAAAAAAAAAAAAAAAAAAAAAAAAAAAAAAAAAAACAATTATGGGCGTGAGATAGACCGGCAACGGAGGTGAGTGGTGAACTTGGGCGAGCTTTCCAGGCTGCAAAACTGCTGGAAGACGGTGAGCTAATTCGCATTGACAAGAGAGGTCGCCTGCGTACCAAATACGGCACCAAAAACTCCTCCCCGAGCCCCGGCGCAAAGATTATGCATCATCCGAGTCATATCTCATGATCCGACCAGACCGGACCCAGACAACAGTCACAACAAGACCTTCTCGGAGCACTCGCCGAGAGAACGAGATCCCTACGTCATCGGTGCTTTTCGAAAAGAAGTAGGTCAATTTTGTAAGTGGTCAATGGAGATGTTCATGTGAGAGGAATTTGCGATTTGACTGTGGATTTTATGTAAAAGTTCATCTCATAAATTTCAACAAGACTTGGATAAAAGCGTGGAGCGGGCATTGGCAGATCCAGCAAATTGGCAACATTGTCTTTTCTCGTTTAAATCTATGGAAATGTATCGATTCTTGGAGGGGTCAGGTGCTCCGACACGAATCGATTATTTAGCATAGGTTTAATTGGAGGAAATCCGGTGTTGCCAATTTGCTGGATCCGCCTCTGGGCGCGGGTAAAGGTAGAGTACACGTATCTGATCGAGTAACAAGCAAGTTGTCACCTAGAAGAATCCACATAGCAGACGTCGCCAGCAATGCGAGCATCAAAAAGGGCGCCTAGAACCCCAGAGTGTTTAAAACCCCCTCCCCCCGTCACGCGGCTACACCCTCCCCCTGAATTGTCACGCGCCGGATCGGATTATGTTTTATTTTCATGTAACTGTCATCGCTCGTTCCGGTCGAATCCTCAATGAACGCCGTTGTCAAATTGCAACATGGAGGACGGTAATAAATTAAAAATGAGGGAGACCTATCCAGTTGTGGTAGGATTTGGCAAAAAGTTTCCTGCCCCATTCAAAGAGGAACTTTATTAATAGAGCGCACGTTCTGAGGATTCACCTCTTTCCTAAACGCTCGGATCTCTCCCACGAACTATCCGCGTTTATTTTGCGATCTCGGAGCTCGTATCTTCGGATTTTGAAACTAGACGCAGAGATTGTTACAGGCATAACCTCATTATTGTATGCTTTTACGACAGCAACAGGTGTCAAATAAGCTAAGCAGATTTTTAGGTGTTTGAGCGCCATCTTTGCTCTAATTGGTTGATGAGGAGGCCAATCGAAAAACGTCATTAGAAAAGCATAGATGACGTCGAAAACCGTAATGACGCCATCTTGGCTTTTCTTACTACATCCTCTCCAAATTATAGTAGTTTTCGTAATACAATAATAATAATAGAGCCGAATTTATTTTTTGAATTGAAGAGACGCACTGAAGGAAAAAAGGAAAAAACATACGTTGGATCTAGAGTCCAGACTCTAGAAAACATGGACAAGAAAAAGGACTCCTAATTCAATCAGATTTAAGCTTAAATCAAAAGGAAATCCGCTTAAATTAAGAGGCTTGGTTCTTGATTTAAGTTTAAATCTGATTGAATCAAGAGTATTTTTTCTTGTCGATGTTTTTAAGAGTCCGGACTCTAGATCCAATTTGTTTGGTTTTTCCAGTGCGAGGCTAGAATCGTTATTCCAAAATATTTTGCTTTGTAGAAGTATCAGATATACGTACACTGACCTATGTTAGGATTGTTTTCAGTTAGTTTTCCTTTATTTTTACACTAAACTTTCTCGATACTCGGTGCCGATTGTAAGCGCGAGAATTTGTACCGTGTTCAATGTAAATCATGTTCAGAGCAAGGATCCCTCAGCAGCACTCAGCTGGATTTGCGTTGTTTCAATTTAGTTGCACTCCACGTTTAAAAAATAAAGTAAAGACCCCGGTTGCTTTTTAGACTAAATAGGTGCTTAATAAATAATATATGACATTTCAATTGCACAGATTTAAAAAAAAGTATAAAAAAGATTGAAAAAACGTTCAAAAACGGTATAGTCAAGGTAACGTGTCCATTTTTCCCTATCTACTCGGCGCAATTATACTGGCAGTAATTAAATATTCGCTAGATAAGTTTTACGCGTGAGGTTTCCATTATTCGCGTTATGATTGCTACGGGTGACAGAAGATAATTCTACACAGCTGGCAACAATGCAAAGCACGATTCTTGCGTGGATGCGATCGGGTGCCAAACTTATCCGTCGAGCTTTGGGACCGGGATCGAGGAATCTGTTGACCTTTGACCCACGGTTTAAACTCCCCAGACCAGACGTGGCTGCCCCACGACTGTTGCCAGGCATCCCCAAAAAATCCCCGCCTTGAAAAAGTAAAAATATTGCAGTGCACCAGGGCCGGATTTACCGACAAGCCGCCCATGGGCCGCCTGTATTTTGCCGCCTCCTTCTCATTCGTTTTGAAACATCAATACAAACCATCAAGTGAACGTGCCGGAGGAGGAGGGGTGCATAAGACGCGTTTACTCATGTTGGGCACATTTTTTGTGAAATATCCCTGTCAACACTAGCAAAAGTTCCCGGAACTTTGCGCAAAAGTTAAGTTCCGTAAACCTATCTCTGTGTGGACAAGGCCTTTCGTTTATAAGAAATAAACGAAATAATTATGAAAGAATAAACATGAATGTGAGTTAATAATTTTAATTTCCGCCACCGCGCCAACCACGCTATGTTTGGCGCAATGCTTGAAGTATCCCTACAGTCTTACAGGCGCTATGCGTTTCACGCTGACCGCACTGTGTTAGGCGCAATGCGTGAAGTATTCATGCAGCCTTGTAGGCACTATGAGTTTCACGGCAACCGCTGCTGATCGCACTACGTTTGACGCAATGCGTGAAGTATTCATGGAGTCTTGCAGGCGCTAATATGTGTTTCATGCTGACTGGCGCGCCGAGGTTTGCCACCCAAGGCTCCACCCTCCTGTCAGCGGCGACTCTTGAAAATTGGCAGCACTCTCTGTTAAAATGTATGTAAAAAAATTGATTCTTGGTAAAGCAGCTGCCTCAAATCGATATTTTCAATTAATTTAAATGGAGGAAAAATAGCGATGCCAACATGCAAAACCGCCACTATCGACTGTACCAGATACTGATTATATTGACAAGCTAACCAGATTCGTCAACATTGGTCGCGTCAAGAGCGTGAACGTAAGGGAATAAAAACAATTGGGCGATAGAGCTAGCATCGGATATTCACGCGAAAGCCGCTCAGGTGCGAACCCTGCCAAAACGGCGTTCCTTTTTCGACTATTTTTGGTGATTAATTTGCAGCGGATTGGAACTTGGAAGCCTCCAGCTGGCTGACGACCAGCGGACCCGCCGCAGCCACGGCGCGGCCCTTTGCCGAGCTTTCGCCTCGCGTGGCATAAGTGTTCATAAACAGAACCTGACTCATTATCGGACCGATACGATGTAAAAAGTGAAATTTTTAGGACCAAAGTGCAAAACCGCGTAACTCCATCGCGGTTATTCAAAATTTCCAATCCTGTTTCATTTTTCCGAGAAGAGGCAATTAAACTTAATGGCATGAGATTCATGCAAAATATTCTGCTAACATAAAAAGAAAATCACTTGATGTTCAAGAAACGACGCTGACTAGTATTCTGAAGAAAGTTCAAACGTCCCAAACGGAGATACTTTGGTTTTGCACTTCAACTATCGACATACTCTTTTGCAAAGCACTGGGAAAAAAAAAAACACATTGGATCTAGAGTCCAGACTCTTAAAAACGTCGACAAGAAAAAGT